GCTCAAACCCGCTACTGAAACCGGCACTTTGATAAACATGGCGGGCACAGTGCTGATTAAGTTCAAGGGTCAGGCTCTGCCCGAGCACGTTACAATACATTACGCGAGATGGAAGCCGTTTGTAAAAAATGTTGTCCTATGTTTCAAATGCCTACGTTATGTACATGTAAAAGAACATTGCAAGGATGTTTTACGCTGTGCTCATTGTCACGGCAATCATGCAAAAAAGGTCATTGCAATGGCGTCCACTCGGTCTTCTCTCAAAGGAAATGTCCAGAATATGAAAAACATTAAAAGAATTAAAACCATAATGGCAGTTGTTAACCAACATAATGGTAGTTGAAAACCTGTCTTACAGTGATGCATTTCAGGTAGTAGACAAAAAATCATATGCAGGGCCGCCACTGTCCCACTCTTAAAGACAATTCTTCATTCCCTACATGAAAAGGGATGAAAGGGGGCTCCTCCATCCTTGCCCGCAACGTCCAACATGATGGGAGGATAATAAATTAAATAAAATGGCATAAGTTACTATGGGAGGCAATAAGGAAAGAGCGAAAGAAAGAAAAAAAGAAAGGACTTACAGACCTTTATACGTCCGATACCAACTCCGCAAACCCAACTGCCTTTTTCTTATCTTATCACCTTGGTGGGACACCTCTCACCATTTTATTATTTGATACAATGAACACTCGGAAGAGAAGAATTTCCTCCTCCCCTGGTGAAGTCATGGCTCAAACCCCAAAAAGACTTTACAGTCCGCTAACTCCAACCCCAAAAGATACCCCAGGAGGGCTCATCCCCTTTAATCCGTATCGTTCCAAAGAAAATGATGACGAGAAAAGTCTAAATTTCGCTCTTATTTGTGAATCGGTACTGCGCGTTGTAAATATAATTAGAGAGGCACAAAATGGTAACATACTAGTGTCCACAAATTTAAATGAAATTATAAAAAACAGTGTTATGAGCCTACCGATATTTCAGAAATTGGATGCTCTGTACCAAAATAAACACAGTTGAATATCCAAAAACTAACTGTGTCTTAACAAAAAGGAGAAAATTAATAACGATAACCTCAATGCTCAGTAAATATAATTCTCACAATTATCGGTTGAAAATTGTTTTTAACAAAATGTTCCACTTTATTACTCTTATTGATTATTATGTTTTACATGATAAGTTCCTACGGTTCCTCCCAAGTATATTTATATTGCTTGCAGTGTTAGCACGGTCAATTATCTCAAAAAAAGGAAGCCTCGAAGTCCTAGTAGATGAGAAGAAGGTCAATTTGGTTCTTCTATCGGAGACTTGGTTGTCCCTCACCGTCGTTTGCAAATTTCGAGGTTTTCATTTCCACAGAAAAGACAGAAGGGATGGATATGGTGGAATAGGTATCTTGATAGACAAACATCTTCAGTTCCTGGATTTCAAAATCACCTATACTGAGCTCCAGCATTTTGCAATTGGAAATTCTACGGGGTAACTCAGCACCTCTCACTGTGGTCTCTGTCTACGTGCCCCACTCGGAAAACTTCCTCAATTGAAATGAAATCAGTTCTTCTCCAGCCGTGACCCCGGGCAAGGACTCTTCGTGAAGAATGGGCTAACCTCCAGCAAAGAGACATTTCCAGACTGGTAGAAAGTATGCCGAGGTATCTTCGAGATGTAATTAAGGCAAGAAGAGGAAATACGCGATATTGAAATGTTAATTAAAAATGTAATTAAAACAAATTTTATACGCCTATAAATATTTACGATGTATTCAAATGAGGCTTAATAAACATTTTAAATTCCGTAAAAAGTTAATATTGAAAAATCCTTTATCCATGTTTTGTATTAAGGATTAAGTTTGTTTACCTCTCATTGATATTCACAATTTAAAACATAGCATAAACAAATATTTATTGGTCTTTTATCGAAAAAATGAAAAAAAAATCCACTTGGGTGGAATTTTTTTCCTTTCAGTTTGTTAAGAATTTGTTACTTCAAACTAGGCAAGGAATCAAGGTCAGATAGCCCAGGTGGTTTTACCCTTTAGAAAAAAAAATACTTGCACAGCTTTTCGAATCTAGTTCGCTGTAATCTCAACTCATTAATTAAAGATAAAATTAATAGCTGTGTTCCTGCCAAATTGAGAACAAAAACACGAAAATTGTCCGAATAAGGGAAAGATATATTTAAGTAACCCATGCTTCTCCGCTAGTTCAGCATCAGTTTTAGACGAGAACGCTTCCATCATTCAAAAGAGAGATAATGAAGTTCATCAGCTCCCTTTACATCTCGCTATTGTTTCTCTTAGTCTTCGTTTCCTGCGCTTACGGGGAGAAAGGGTCAGGATTATTACACCAGATCATCCTGTACATTTTTGAAAACCCGATGGTGAAATTTCTATTTCTAAGGTGGTTGGATAAATATTATAATGCAAATTATCTATTTATACAGATTCCAGAATATCGGACCCAACTAAAGAGAGCAAAATTCATTCGTATTCGTAAGGAAGATTGGGTGTAAAGTTGTAATATTATTAATATTAGGATATTTTAGTACGTATTATATAAAAATAATTTGTAACCCATGTAAGAACGAATTCAATAAAAATATTTGTTTAGTCGATATTATTTATTTTCCTTTATAATAAACTCAATCTAATTCTGCCCAACAAGATTTTTCTCGGAGTGAATATCATGATAATAACTGCTTGAATTAGCAGGGGTGGCTGGGATTTCTGTTTTGACAACATATTCAAAGTGGAAAATGTTTTCCGGCCCTTCCATGGCTGCCGGAAAGGGGGTGAGATGGAGAGAGTTTTCTTTAAAAATTTATTTATTTATTTCATCATGCTCTGTTTACAGCACTACATGAAATTACATGTCTCATTTGTGAACAGATATAAAATACATAAAATATTTATTTATTTATTTCAACTATAGAGACTAGTTATCTCAAAATTTAAATATTTCCGATATAGGCTCTCGGGATTTCTAGGGTTGTAAAATCCCAAAAGAAGGACAAACAACCATTTAAGTATCTTCAACAGCCTCTCCCTGCTTATATCCTTGATACTGCACTTCATTTTTACTCCAAAACAGAGAGGTATCAAACAGCAGGTAGATCAGACTCATGACGAATCTTACTTTAGAAAAATTTTAAGAGATTTGCATAGATTAGCCAAAAAATGACAGACCTCCTCGATAATCGATCCAGGTGTCTGGATGAATTGTTTTAGTTCCTTAAAACATCCAACCTACATCGGAAAATTTAACAGGTGAAAACAATATATGTCACGTCAAATAAAATAACAACCTCAGTGTAAAAGTAATCCGAAAATTAGTCTTTTTCAGATCTGATTTATCTTGCTACATTAATTTGCCTTTTATATCTACTATAGGTAAAAATAGTATTAATTAGTAATTAGTACTAATTAAGTAGTAGTAATTAGTAAATAGTATTAGTATTAATAAGTAGTAATGTAGACTGACAAGCAAAAAATTCCACCCACTTTAATTAACTTGATTTGTATACATTATTATATATTAATCAAAGGTTCACGTTTTTTAACGTTTAATAATTGAGTCTTTGTTTAAAAAAGTAAAAAAAAAAAATGTAAATAACTAAGAAAATGAAAAAAGACATATAAAATTTGTTTTAATCAGATTTTTAATTAACATTTCAATATCGCGTATTTCCTCTTCTTGCCTTAATTACATCTCGAAGACCCCTCGGGATAGTTTCTACCAGTCCAGAAATGTATCTTTGCTGGAGGATAGCCCATTCTTCACGAAGAGCCCTTTCAAGATCGTGGAGTGTATCAGGAAGGACGTGCTCTTATTCGACTTTTGAGGTTATCCCATAAATGTCCGATGGGGTTCAAGACTGGAGAACAGGCTGGCCAGGCTAAGACCCTGATGTTACGCTGTTGAACTAATGCTTGTATTATGCGAGCGACATGTGGACGGGCATTATCGTGAATTAGAATAGGATTATCGCTGATTTCATGTAGGATAGGCAACGCATGTTGTTCCAAAATTTCATCCACATAGCGAGTAGCCGTCAAAGACCCTCAACGAACAATAACCAACTTTTGCGTCTCTCCATTGAAATTCCTGCTACGCCATCACTGAGATAGTTTGAAAAGGTTGGCTCTGGGTAAAATTACAAGCTTCGTTACCTTTTATTTCGCCTTCTCTACATTCTTTCACGCCCATCTGGAAATCGAAGAGCATATCTACAATCATCTGTAAGCAGTACAGCAGACCAATCGTCCAAAGATCAATGGCTATGTTCTCGAGCAAATGTTAAGCCGTGCAACACTGTGTTCTGGTCATTTCTGGTCCTCTTACGAGCAAGAAGCCATCAGTCCATACTGATTTAATCTCCTTCGAGCAGTGTGTTCAGAAATTTGGATACCTCGAACTTCCTGTAGCCGGTTTCGCTAAATTCTCAAAGTGAAAAAACGGTCATCAACATACTTGCACAGCAATCTAGTTCGCTGCAATCTCAACGCATTAATTAAAGATAAAATTAATAGCTGTGTTCCTGCCAAATTGAGAACAAAAAATTGTCCAAATAAGGGAAATATATAATTTAAGTAGTCCGCGCTTCTCCGCTAGTTCAGCACCAGTTTTAGTCGAGAACGCTTCCATTATTCAAAAGAGAGATAATGAAGTTCATCAACTTCCTTTACATCTCGCTATTGTTTCTCTTAGTCTTCCTTTGCTGCTCTTATGGAACTTACGCAACCAGACACCAGCTCATCGTGTATATATTTAAAAACACGGTGAAATTTCTATTTTTAAGGTAGTTTGATAAATACTAAAATACAAATTATCTGTTTTACAGATTCCAGAATATCGGAGCAAACTAAAGAAAGAAAAATTCATTCATATTTTAAAGGAAGATTAGATGTAAACTAACATTAGGATATTTTAGTACTTACTATTTAAAAATAATTTATTGCCCGTGTAAGAACGAATTCAATAAAAATATTTATTTAATCGATCTTATTTATTTTTGTTGATAATAAAATCAATCTGGTTCAACCAAACAAGATTCGACTTTTCTCGGAGTGAATATCATTAGATAATCGCTTGTATTAGCAGGGGTGGCTGGGATTTCTGTCTTGACGACGTACGTAGAGTCGAAAATGTTTTCAGGCCCTTCCAGGAGGTTGTCGTTCAAGCAGAGCGTGGTTCTGCGCATATCCTCGAGCTTCTGGATTATGTCAGGATCTTTCAATCCGTGCTGTAAAAGGGAGACACAGGATTAATAACCTTCGCCGTGTCCAAGATGTGAGATCTTCACCCTTTTAGCCTGGAATATGCATTGGGAGTAGCGTTCGTAATTGATCTTGTGCAGGTTGACCAAAGCCAGGTACGCCCATATCTCGGGGTACTGCGGGTCCATCTTGTTCGCTTCGGCCAAAGCTATTTCCGCATTTTCAAACTCCCCCAACTAGAAGTGTTTTTTTGCGAGATAACAAGGCTTAAGAAAAAATGTGTGCTCATACCGACAAAAAGGTGATCCCCAGGCCCAACCAGTTTCCTGGCGTTCTCTGGATGACGGCGGCTCTCTTGAAAGCATCCTTCGCCTCTTGGAATGCTTCATTTTTCAGATGAAAATAACCCATTCTAAAATTTTTGCAAATCAATTACGGTTATTACATCCACACAGGTAAAAGTGATGTTAGAAATTGAACGTTATAGAAAATAGCTGCAAGATAACAATAACAGATGAACATACATTCTTGAAGATTATTTTAATTTTTTTTGTGTAATTAGTTTGTTATTTTTACATGTAAATAGTTTTTGTTATTTATCACTTGAACGCAGATAAAAAAAGGACTTTTATGTAATCAAAGAATATCATTTTATGAAGAACACCCAGTGGAAGATTGGATAGCGATGAAGGATAGTATTTGAACTTCGATGATTGTAAGTACACACACACTCTCACACGCACACATACCTGTTGTAGCTTAGACCCAATTTCGAATAATCTTTAGCGATGTTTACTGCGAAATTGTACGCGTCCATGGCGTTTTTTTCGTCACCGAGACGATAGTAGCTATGCCCAAGGAGGCTCCAGACAGCTTCCTCCTATAGTCAGAACAGTTTTCACAAGCGTCGTTTCATTAGAAAAATTAATTACCTCCCACTTTAATTTAGACGCTTTATCCAGGTGTTCTATGCTTTCCTCATAGTTTCCTAAAAAGTAGTGCGTGACGCCTAGGTAGTAGTGGCACTGGAATGCGCTATTTTCAGACTTTTCCAGCTCTTCCATTAAGCATATGGAGGCGAACTCCGGCAGTTTGTATTTTAGAAAACCGATGGCGGCGTTTATGTACAATCTATCGGCGCTCCTGTACTGGGGGGTCCAGCTTAGAAAGTACTCACACCTATCGTCAGGGATGCTTTCCATATCGACCATCGCTTCGAACCCTTTGATGAAATTGATGCTGGCTCCTTCCTCGTTTTCGAGGAGAAGGTGGAATATGTGAAATCCGACCCAACCGAGGAAAAAGCGAGGGTGGTTCTCGACAAGCGAGCTGAAGTATAGTTCGGCCTGTTCTGTATTGCCCGACATGGCCATTTGTGCTGCGTACAGCAGCAAGCCGTGTTTATCCTTTCGGTCGATGTTTAACAACTGCTTCAAACCGACTTGCGCTTCGCTTCTGTCATCGAAATACAAAGCAATCGCTACGTAATCTCGCCACCAAGACGTCGTGGGCTCTCCATTTACCTCTACGATCTAAGAAGAAACATGTTCATAACTGTCTAACAATACCTACTACACACCTACTGTTTTCTGCAGTATATTCGCCCTTCTTTGATTCAGCTCCTCACAAGCTTCCGCGACGTAAAGCCGGATGTTATCTTCAGAAGGATTCTCAACATAAGTTTTGTTAGGTTTAAAAACGGTGTGGGCATCGAGACCGTTGATTACAGCATTGACTTTCTCCATGAGTTTTTTATAGGTAGTCATTGCGTAAGCCTTAAAGGACAGCCATGTGATTTAATAATTTAATCTTTTAATTTTTTTACCTTCAATTGTCTTTCTGTAAAGTTTTCATCGACTGGACCGACAACGGTCACGGCAAAATCTGTGACTAGCTCCTGCACCTCCGGCTGCACTTTAGCAAGCGTGCCACTGTCATTTAAGTGCTTCCAGAATTCCGCCTCGTCAAAATAGTCTCCGCGCCTTCCTAGTTTAATGTTGTTGTTAACGTAGACCTACAACAGAGCAAATGCGGAACCTGCTGGGTGAACGAACTAAAAACATGTTTACTTTGTGCTCTTCTTGTACAATGTCCATTAGGTCGAATATCCCGTTGTTAAACGCTTTTAATCGTTTTGGGGCTACAGGCGGTTCTTTTTCGATTTTTTCCGGTAATATTTTTTTTATCCTGAAACAATTATTGGACTGTAAATGGCTGGAAAATTTGCCTTGTATTTTACTTGTATGTAGACGTCAGGGAAATGTAATTGTTGCCTTGAACCACACCCTTGTAGAAATATAGCTCATATGTGTATTAGTACATGATTATTCCGTCGTTTTCGATCGTTCTAGTTTGCCTGTCCTCAGACTATCCATGCGTGGCATCTAGGATAAAAGCAGGTAAAGACCCACCAGATGAATGCCGAAACGCCTGACGGCCAAACCGAAGATAGGCAGATCTAAAAGATCGGAGTGACCTAACTATTGATTTGTCACCCCACCTTATGAAGAAATTTGAAAATTTATGACCCACTAAGAAGATCCACCCTCGAATCTCGTGTCAGTGGAAATCTGTTGCCTAGAGGAGCCATACGAATTTTTCGTTTGTCTGAAGCACCCTCCTTTTTGAGAACTACCTAATTGGAGCTAATGTAAGTCTTATTACTTACTCATCGTCTAACTCTTTTGTCGTCTTCTTTTCTACAAATGGTTTCAGAAGACTGACTTCAACAATAACAAATATCTTCTTCCCATACGGCGTAAATACTGGTACAGAGGGCACTATTTCATGAATCGGTTCTTCTACTGGGGGTTCTCCCTAAAACAGGAATGAAATATATATCGCAAGCAGATGTCATATAAAGCAACAATAGCAGAATTGTCCTGAAATCATCGCATTACTTCGGGATTCACTGCGGACGGTTCTGTATCGGTTTGGTTATCCTTCTTTTGGACTGCTTCATTACCCTTCTTGCCGCCAGCTATGCTCTTCCTCCCTCCTCCCGCTACGCTTTTTCTTCCGCCTCCAGAAACGCTCTTTCTTCCGCCTCCAGAAACGCTCTTTCTTCCGCCTCCAGCAACGCTTTTCCTCCCGCCACCGGTTGTGCTCTTCTTCCGACCAGCACCGGCTACGCTCTTTCTGGCACCTCCTGTTGTGCTCTTCTTCCTACCACCCCCGGCTACGCTCTTCCTAGCGGCTCCTGTTGTGCTTTTTTTTCTTCCACCCCCGGCAACGCTCTTTCTAGAACTGTGCCTTTTGCCGGCTATGCCGTCTTTTACCTCCTCTTTCGCAGATGTTTTGTTTTCCACTCGCGGCTTTAACACTACCCACCTTTGGTTGAATTCCGTTTGTTGAAACATCAATAGCGGACAGGCCACTCTTGTCGAGGTGACTGAAATAAAAACAAAATAGTTATTGATAATTACGTTTAATTGTGTAAACTCATGTATCATACCTCCTGGATAAAGTAAATTTGATATGTCTGCATACGCTATAAAGGTCGGTATTTCTTTTTCATCCTCTTGTTTTGTTTTATGGATTTCTTTAGAGGCTGACTTTCCTACTGGCGATTTTCCTGTTACTGACTTCCTTGAAAGGGATTTTCGCGATATTGACTTTTTGGCGGACTGCCTTCTTGCAACTGACTTTCTGGAAACCTTGGACGATATGGATTTCTTCGCGATTGACTTTTTCGCAAGCGACTTCCTGGTCAATGATTTTTTAGGCTCGCCTTTTTCCGTTGCTACTGTTGTATTCCTCTGAAACGCTTTTATATCGATTCTTTTCATGATAGGCATAGAGCCTGGCGGGTTGATTCTAAATTCGATTGGCCATACGCGATACCTTGATAATATAACATTAATCGTAAGGAATATAAGTTGAGTTTATTTACTCTTACTTCTTTACCGCCTCGTAAAAATACGCTTCTGACTCTTTACTGAGGTAAGTTCTTCTCATTTCATTCCAGTTTAATCTCGGCGAATTACCGTTGATGACAGATTTCAAGTTGCAGTTGGGCACGCAGTTTTTAATGTCATACACTCCGTCTCCCAGTCTGTATTTTGAAAGAGTCGGAGGCCCATACAAAGGCGGTCCTATCGTCGACCACTTTTTGAAGCGTACGGTACTGTTAGTTTCCTCTAGGCCTTCTGCGTAGAATTCGTGCCGTTTTATGACGACATCTTCATCCTGGAATGTTTTCAATTCGGTCAGTTCGATTAAGTGATTAACTGCGGTACCTTACGTTATGCTCCGGGGGATAAAGAAACGGTATTGTAGCACGGAAAACCGAATTGGGATCCGTGTCGGGCAATATACAGTTTTGGATCGTCTCGATAGTGAACATGACTGAATTCGCCAAAGGTGGAACATCATCGTTGAAGTTATCGACATTGACAGCCATGACTTTTATCCTAGGGATCAACAACATCGGTGGATGCACTACTGTCGTGGGCTCGGCCGTATTCATCAAGCTATCCTTGTTCTGCAATTCATCTTTTTTTTTCTTTAATTCTTGGATTGATTTCTGATCTAATGAACCACCCCGCATTGGGGCGGCTGGCTTCTCAGAAGACTCAAGAAGTATCACTTCAAACTGGTGTTTTTCTCCTGGTGCAAAATAGTTGAAATTTATATTAAGTACTGAGTACTGAATAATTTAGACGGATATTACCTTTAATAAGTGGTAGGATATCGAGATTTCCTTCACCAAGGAGTAGGGGTAATTTTACATCACTACCTCCGCCCCCGCCAGCTTTGCCTGGGCTTTGTGCCACTTTAACACCTTGTTTCCCACTTTCCCCTTTGGTAGATGCTCTACGGGCGACGGACTTTCTACTACTCTGCCTCCTGCTGCCACCACCACCCTTGGCGCTCTGCCTCCTGCTTCCACCCTTGGCGCTCTGCCTCCTGCTGCCACCCTTCGCACTCTGTCTCCTGCTGCCCGCTTTGGAACTCTGCCTTCTCCCACCACCACCTTTAGCACTCTGCCTCCTGGTGCTGCCTTTAGCGCTTTGTCTCCTTTTATGCGTACTTCCATCTCCTTTAGTGTTCATTTCAGAACTTGTTTGAGCTCTGCTCACTTTCCTGGCTATCGCAGTGACTTAAACAAATTACACAACATAAGATCAAATTGTTATAACGGCTGTAGCAATTCTAAATCACTCTGGCTTGCTAAGCTGGAGGAAGTGCTTTAGCATGTACATCGTAACAGTAGATGAAATTCGACCACAGAAATCGGCTCTAATAATTGATTTTTGATAAACTAGGTCTCAATATGCTATAAGTATAGAACGGAGGATACAATAACTCTTAAAGGGCGCAATATACTACACGCACCCTGAATGATCCCTCTACATCTACATGGGCTAAGTTTTAGCATTGTTAGATCCATCTCTATGGGTTAGAAGGTCTGGCGTTCCTGATCATTCTGGTCTGACAGACGAGTTTTGGCTTCTGGAGGCGAGTGCATCGACACACCGAAAGACCAAACAGCAGCTATTAAAATTAGCTATTAATTGTAATAATTGACACATGGATGATGATGTACTGTTTGCAGATTCTTGAAGAGAGACACATCACCTATTGGTGGAATGTTCTGAATATTGCCCTTTAAATGAAATGCAAGTAAATGTTTCCAAAACTAAAGCATTAGTGTTCCAAAGATCACCAAAATGTAAACAACTTAGACTTTATTTTGAATAAAACCTCGTGAATTATTTAAATTCTTATACTTATTTATGGTATTCCATTTAGTTGTACTGGTCCCTGGAAATCTTAAAAGAGGTTACACTTGCAAAAAAATCCTCATAAGATCTGATAGCCAAGTAGCCATTAAAGCATTAGCATGTAAAAGAATCACATCAAAATTAGTGAATGCATCCAAAATATCCAAAACCTGGGGAAACACAACAACCTGATGATATCTTGGGTGCCAGGGCACAAAGGGGTTTTGGGTAACAAGAAGCAGACAGACTGGCCAGAGGAGGATCTGCAAGACCATACAAGGCCCCGAACCTATACTTCGAACCACAAAAACAAATATAGAATCTTCCATCGCAGAATAGATCTAAACAAAACAAAAAGAGAAGTGGATAAACTCTAGCGGCGCTAGACATAGTAAACTTATGATGAAACAACCCTCACCAAGACTGGCAAAAGCGTTGCTGCAATTGGAGAGGGCTGAACTCAGAGGAATGATAGGACTATTAACCGGTCACTGGCATCTGAAAAAACATGTACACAACATGGGTATATACAACAATGATCCCATTTGCAGATTATGTAATGAGGAGGAGGAAACAGCCACCCGTATCATCTTCGATTGCGAAGCAACAGCTCAATGGAGATTTAACCTAACGTACGGAAAAAACTTAGGGAATCAAATTTCAGCAGCGACAGTCAATGACCTGATACTTCTAAGGAGATGGATTGAGTCTATTGCACTGAACTAAGAAACTAGGAAGGTACAATAAGCCAAAAGGCTGCAGTACCGGGGAGCACAAACGCAAAAGCTTCCTAGTATCCTTTTTTACCATACCATACCATGAACAGGTAAATTCAACAAAGCAATAAACAGTGCTCTAGGCAAAGGGTCATGGGCTCTAGAGAGAACGTTTTAATAAGAGATAGATCAAATTTTATGTCAACCAAACAAAGACTGTTTGATTCCATTTGGCAGCATCTGCCCTCTATGGTGCAGAGTTACTAGGTGACATTAGTGTACTCAATAAATTCAAAATAAGGTTTTTTAAACAACTTTATCTACTGCCTCGAAACACCTCTGTCTACTTTATAAATGCTGAATTTGGCCTTGAGGACTTAGTATTCAAATATTGCAAAGAATATTAAATTGGTGGACAAAGATATTCAAGCAGATAAAGATATTCTACAAGGTTGTTCTCTTTTAGGACGGTCATTTGGTTATGCACTCAAAAACATTACTTTATCATCACAAAAAATATCATGGTGGCTGGTTATCACAATTACAAGATTTGTTGCTTCTAGGTTGCGAATCAGTTTTTACTTATTGTCCTAATGCTTAACTACAAAAAAGACAAAAAATCAAATTATTGAAAACTGGAAAAAAGCATATTTATTTTTTAAACCTCGAGCTTTGCTTAATTTCACAGTATTACCTTTTTTAACAAAAATATTTTCTTTATATCTTTGTGAAAACTACTTGCTCGAAAATATATCTACTGCGATACAAAGGTTATTGGTTTAATTAAGACTTTCAGTAAATACAGAATTAAGGTTTTTCCAACGAAGGGACTTTGTATAAAATAATCACTCCACAGAGTGGCTCTGTATGTAATCTGAACTTAAAGGAAACATCGGTGCATTTAATTTTTATTAGCCCCATTTACAAATTTTTGAGCGAAAAATATGCCGCTAAGTACTACTTAAATCGTCCATCTGTTTTACAACCTAAAGACCAACTATTGTTACTACTTAAAATTTCAAATAAAAGCCAAATTAATGACTTATTTTATTTTCCCATGCGAATATTAAAGTTAGCGTTAGAAGAATAATGTCTCTTATCTTTATTTATTTTATCATTTATTTGTGAATGATAATAACTGCTTTTGATCACTTATGTATTTTATTATGAAACATACGTTATTTATTACATCTTGAAATGATAGATGAATTCGTTATTTGTTGCTTATTTCTTTTTGTTAAAAGTTTTAAAAATCTTATTTAAAATGAGTAAAAATGTATTAAAAAAGTACATTATATGTACAATGTAATTATTGTGAAAATATAATAAAAATCTGTTTATCTATTAATTGCATATTTGATAGGATTTTATGTAGTATTTTAACTGTAAAGAAAGGGAAAAAAATTAGACTAACTATCAATATACCAATGCATTGATTCCACTTTTAAGTTAAAAATTGATTTATCATTTTTGTAGTTGGGATGAAAAATTTATGTCACGAGCGGGATTCGATCCCACGATCTTTGGCTCAATACGCCGCTGTTCGAACTAAACTGCTCAAAAATGAATAGAGACATTTGTAATTTATTCTTATTCTATTAAATTTTGATTAAACTAACGGATATATTCTTTGTAGGGTTCCAATCTTCGTAGCGGGGGGGGGTGGATGGTCGCAAGGTTTAGTCTTTGACACGGCGCTCGTCACTGTAAGGTAAAGGTTCCGGGTTCGAATCCAGCGGCTCTGCATTCGAACTCAACATACTTACAAATGGGCTTTTTTTCAAAAACACCGGCACCCTGAAGGTTTATATGACCTCTGCTATTGCGAACCCTCGAAAAAAAAATATATATAGCAGATAAATAAAATCTTCGTAGAGGTCATTAGGCAGGTGAAAAAAAGAAGACTAAATGCTGGGTTCACTATGCTTTCGGCACCTTATAACAAAATTACAACAGTGTTAATTGTATGTTACTGTGTATTTATGTGAATTTGTAATAAAATAGACCTTGATGATGGCATTTACTCTTCTTTTTTTCACCTGTCTAGTGACCTCTACGAAGATTGAACCCTACATAGATTATCCGCAGGTGATCAACAAACATCATATCTTCGATATATTCTTGTTAGTTGGATAAAACAAAATAGAAAATACAAACCAAAAACAAAGAAATATTAATCCTCTTTTTTAATAACGGATTTACTTAAGAATATTAAACATGAAGATTACTCATTTTCTAAACACCTTTTTTTCATCTTTTCTCCATTTTAAACCAGTTTATTCTCTTTAACCATGGAAAGACATCTTGAACCAGAAGTTCGCAGTATTATTGTAAGGATCTCAGAGCGCGGTTCATCCTTTTTGAACACTTTCCATAGTGCCCGCCAGATCGTAAATGAAGTGCAAGATGTTTCGGCAAGGCCTTTATCAACACAAACTATTCGTAATCGTTTGTGGGAAGCATCAAGATCGAATGACTTTTTGAGATGACCTGCAGCAACAGCTCGCCACCAGCAACTCAGGAGAATATGGTGCAGCAAGAGCCTAGAAGAGAACACCAACTGGAATACTGTTACGTTTACTGATGAGTCGCGTTTCTGACTGTATAGTGATAGCAGGCGCCAAATAGTCTATCGAGAAAAAGGGATGCGAACAATGCCCCAGTTCGTGCTCTGTTCCAGTTTGGAACAGGCGATGAATTGGCTGTGTTGGGATTTATACTGGAGGACAAACTGGGCTCCATATTTTTCAAGGCAACCTCACCGCAGTCTTTTATGTACAAGAAATTATCGAGGAATACATCCGCAAACCAGGGATCTCAATGGCAGGAGTTTTCGATTTCCGGATGACAATGCCAAACCTCATACAGGCAGAGTTGTTCATCAATGTTTTGAAAACCTGGGCATTTCCATTCTGCCCCTTCCCCCATTGTTTCCAGACCTCAATCCCAGTTTGCATATGTGGAATGCGTTGCAGAGATGGCGTTTCGATCACCATCGGCACCCTGCTAACTGCAAAACTGAGACAGCGTCGCAACATCTATGGAGTGAAATTCCTTATGAAATTAGTGACAATCGTATTAAAAGTATGCCTAATAGGTGCACAGAAGTTTTAGCCCTTATTTAAATTTTCCTTCAATAAAAAAAGAATAATTTCTAATAAATTTTAATGCAATTTATAATAAAAATAAAACAAAAATGTTAGGAAAAGTAAATATATACTACAAAATTGGCAATACCCCTATTCATTTTTGAGCAGTTTACTTGAGCTGTAGTGTCTTTGATCCCCCTGGACACCAACTCATCATCTGAACGTACAATTTTTTTTTTCAAATTTTCCTCTTTTTGCCATATATTAAAATTTCTTGTAATCATTTCGATTTTAGACGGCACATGAATTGCCCACGGGGAGCTGTTAGCGAAGTGTAGTTAACTGTATTAATCTATTCTTTTTAATTGGTTACATTTTACCAAAGTAAATTGATTTATAAGTTTTATTTAGTAGTAGTTGGAGTTGGCGGCCCGGAGGACCAAATTCACGATAGCTCAAGTGGTAGGGAGTATTGACCCGAAGGTCGTGGGTTCGAGTCTCGCTCGTGACAAGTTTCCATCTCAATCACACTTTATATAAAAATTGTAAATAAATTTAAATCATTACTTTAGTTCAATAGGGCTAACTAGAAAACATATGGTTATAGTTAAAACTTTTGTCATAGACTTACAGACAAATGGGATCCTCATTAGTTCGTCAACGTCTGAAAGCGTTTTCCCAGGTATGCGGAACATGATTTCCTCGTTGATGTCGAAATCGCTTCTAGATTTCACAACTGTCGAAACGGAGCCGATGAGTTCGTTGTTGAACTGCATCAATATATTGACTTCTGCCGGGTAAGTCGGCAGTATCTAAGAAAAGGATTGATCAAATGTGAAGCTACACAGGTGAAGGAAGAGGCCGTGGGACCAAGGACCAAAAACTCACAACGTTCTCGATAGACTGCACGATGAACTTGAGGAAGTTGGTCTCGCATTTTTCCTCCTCTGTGATTGGGCCAGATTGCTTTTTGTATTTCCCTTGCTTCTTCGCATTCGTTTTCGATATCCGCCTAGCCACAGATCCGCGTTTCGCCGATGCCCTCCTGGCCACAGATCCCCTCTTCGCGGATGCCCGTCTCTTCGCCGACTGGCGCCTCGTCGTTTTAGGCTGGCCAGCGTCCTCCTTTTCGCCCATTTCACCAAAACACTAACCTAAAAAGATTAACAAAATTCGAGTATAAATATAATGGTAACATATGAGTTTGCCATAGCTGTTTTGTTTTCATGATTGATTCGTTATCTTTAATCGAAAATAATTCAATACACAGACAAAAACCCACAGCGACAGATAACTCCGATCATTTTTGTCTTCCTATGCTGCTGGATCATAGTATGTTCCTCTCCCTCTTACAACCTTGATGCCACGCACTGAAAATTACAAAATGCCGAAACCAGTTTGACAGATTAAAACAGAGAGGATTAGGAGACCAAATTGATCAGAATAGACCAAACTATAGATTACAATAGTGTGTCAAGTATTTATTTTCGTTTTCTTAAACTTTATTGAGTAAAACACATTACAGTTGTGATGGTACCCTAAATATAAAATAGCACTTGAAACATGTAGTGAAAACGAACTCCCAGCGGCGTTCCTCACTTTAAGATTATTAATAAATTCGGTAACAGGTTGCAATAATTAATTATTTGAGGATGGTGCAAGGTCGGTGTGTCTTCATTTTCAATCGTCTTTGTGATCTTAGAGTTGGTTGGCTCTGGTTAATTTCTTGCATCAGTTGGTTGGGGTGCGCCTTGATGGACCGGTAGTGTCGATTGTAGGTGTTCTTGACCACCGTTTTGAATGGAATGTTCAAAGTCTTTGTGGTTAGTTTCGTTCTGAACATACTACGGAGCATTTGTTATTAACCGGGTATACGGTTCTTAAAAGTTTGCACCGTTTTAAGTTGTGAATAGATATGAGAATATGGTGCAATCGTATTGCCATATAGGCTTATGATCATTATGAGTCGCTTTACGTGGAGAGGGATGGTTTACTGGCGAGATTTTTTAGTGCGTACATTCGATGCCGAGTCCATGCGACGTTTTTTAAATGTGTTTCCCATGTTAACTTTTGGTCCAGGTGTAGCCCTACATATCGCGGCGGTATTGTTTAGATGTTACGGGTTCTCCCTGAAACAAAATTACTTCTCTGATACGAGGCGATGGCAAGTGAAACTTGTGACTTTGTAGCGGTAAGAGAACATTCAGTGTAGGTGTTCGGGTGCGTCTCCGTCACCGAAGCGCCCGATTTGTATACACTGTACCCCTCTATCTACAACCCCTATCTTCTGGAAGTCCACCAATCATAACACACTTCCCTCCTTTTCCTCAAAAACCCATCCCTTCCGGCCTTTTTTGGGCTCCTCTTCTCCGTCAGCTATCGGAGCGAGCACATCTCCTATCGTCCTGTCATCTCCCCTAAGTGTTGCACGATAGTAATTAACCACCGTGTAAGATCGCCCGGCTATTGATTTGCTCTAAACATTTATCGCCACGCGAATGTTCGCGTATTGACATTAGAATCGCCCCATCCTTTGATGGTCACAAACCTATCATCGCCATTTTCCCTTAATATCTCATCTCCCTTTATCCATCTATCATCATCATAATCCCACGAACGAATCATCCATCATTATCCCCGGAAGACTCTATCATCTCACTAGCATTGCCGCCTGGATTGTATCATCTCGTTACCATCGCCACTTGGATTTCACCATCCATCATCATCATCGACGCTGCTGGAACCAGGCCGTGCTTTGGCCTAGTCATCGCCGATATCGCAAGACCTTCACCGCTTTCCGGCCTTCATCGCCTTCAGGTTTCCAATACGATCATCGGCCATCTTGTAAGCCATAGAAATTTCATTAAACAGTGAGTCTTCAATTACTCATTTCGTTCATTATTTATTCCTTCATTTAACCATTCCTAAACTAACATCTATTCAATCGGGAATCTTCCATTCCCGTTGGTGCCGAAACAATCTTCTTATTAATTTCAACTCCTATCTCCGGCGGTGTTCGTCGGCGCCATTTTGTGTTTGGCTGCTGGCGAACAGTAGGGGAAGGTTGGGTTGCAAAAATACAATAAACCAGAGATATATTCTTAAACATTTATGTATATGGTAACGAAGGAACAGTTGAACAATGGAGGCAAGTCGGCCACAACTATAAATGGGACACAATAGGACTTACCCGAAACAGTGGTTGCCAATGCTTCCACGTCATCCAGCGTCTTCCAGAATCTTCTTCCTACAGTTTCCTGGGTCCTCGAAAGTCGATTCTATTCGACTTGTCGCAATGGTTGGTCCTTGCTGGCTGAGTACCCTCACATACAGTGTGGCTGCATGACTGCTCTGAAGTGGGTCATCGAGTTATCTGACTTTGCTTTCCAAATCATAGCCTTTTATAACGGTTTCCCGATCACAGTTGGAGAAGAAAGGAAAAGTAAAACTACTGGGCTAGATCGTCGACTTTCTTCGTGCGAGGGCTCGCTGCGCAATAAATTATCAGGAGTTTCTGTTACTTAGCCTTCTGATCCATGGATGAACATCGGGCAAAGAGTGTACAATGCCCACCCGGGTGACGCCCCAAATTTATAGTGTCCTACAGCTGGATGAACTGTGTCCGTGACAACCTTACCGTAACTTTACAATTACCAAAAATTAACTTAGTAATTTATATTATGAGGTATCCTATTGGGGGGAGGGGTCCTCGGGGTTATGAACCGATGGGTTTTGGCATATTCAGACCATCTTGGGGGGCCAGTCGTCGTTAGGCTTGTCAGCATATTCTGGTGGGTCTGTATGTTTACTTTTTCGTTGGGTCCCTTTTTATACACACTCATTCCACCTTTCACGAATGTACAAAAGGGGTTAATATAATATTTAGCCTATTAATAATTAATTAACGTTTTCAGTTGAGATAAAAAAGTCAATGGCACGAGCGGGATTCGAACCCACGATCTTCGGCTTGATACGCCGCTGCTCTGAAAACCTTAATTAATTGTAAGATATTAATTGGTAAAGCGGACCACGAAACTAGTGAATTTAACCTATTATTTAACTTATTTATCCCTAACTTATGCTAAGGCTTACAATGGTACAAATAAAGTATGGTACATATTCTTTGGTCTTTTTCTTTTCTATATTATTTTCGAAAATAGAGTCCATGACATCCCCGAACGCGATCCATTGTGGGTGTCGATGAGGTGCTAACATTCCGCCATCGACCCTCTCTCTTTCTCATTCACACAGCCACACAACTATATTCATGCACACTTACATTATGTACAGTGCATAACATACAATACATTATATATAGTATTTACATTCTAAAGATGGGGAAATGTTTCCCTTAAAAATTGAGACAGGGGACCCAGTGACACTCAAGGACTGGCTTACATCGGATGTCATGCCTACTTGGTCTGTGTAGGGGCCTAGGCGTGCACTCTTCGACCAAGTGTGAACCATTGAGCAACCTTTTTCTACAAGCGAGGCTCCTACACCAAAATAAGGTGACCGTGTGTCAATCGGGTGTGGCCAATCATCAAACGGCCCAGTCGTTCTCTTGATACGGAAGAGCTCGGATCGGGCACATGTCGCTGCCAACGTTCTTTTATTGCGTTTTTTACTGTAAGTAAGCCTCACAGGGCCGGATCTCGGTGGTTCGGTTTGAAGGTCTAGACGTCCCAGCTTTTGCCGTTTCATCAGCACGTTCGTTGCCCTCCAGCTCGACGTGTACCCAGACAACTACAAGCTTTTTACGGGTCGCTCCAACCCAGCATACCTCTCAAATAAGAGCATGACGAGAAATCCACCGTGAATCTGTCACGAATAGCCGAAACTGCGCTCAGGGAGTCGGTACTTCGTCACGATTCGCCCCGAACGAGTAATGTCGCATCACATCCGCCCTATACACGCTATTATAGTGCCATGGAATAATCATAATGTCCTGTTACCAATTTCCAAAGGTGCAAGGTTTTTTTCTGTAAACAGAACTGATACCTTTTGGGGACGTTTCGGTATCTTTTATGTCATAGTCATTCGATGAATTTCTTTCATTTTCATAGAATCTAGAAAATTCATAGATTTCAAAAATAAAAACGATATAACTAAGATAACTGAGTGCTGGGTTTAGATGACAATCTGCCAGACTGGGTGAGGTTGGTTGGCTGCTTGGACTCTTCCATTTGATTTGGATTCGAGTTGATTGCCTTTTCTATTAAATCAACCCCTTTTATACCAGTTTCCTAACGAGGGTACGGGAGGAACGAAAAGCAAAACTTATGCTATGTTTTTCTGGCATCCTAATGTTTTATAAGAGACCCTCATAACCTATTCTTTGGTTTTTAACATGTACCCAATAAACACCATTAGATACTTTTTTTTTTAGATGTATTCAACCAATGAGCAGCGACGCGCCTATTTTCAAAGATACTACACCATCGGAAAAATGTCCAATATGAACAAAATACACTGAAAATTCTTCCGAATGTCCATCTGTTTTTCCACTAATGTTTTCATCTCGACTTTAATAAATACCAAAGCCACCTTAAGGGCTTGGTGGCTCAATCATAATAATGTGCATAAAAAATAGTTTTTTTTTCGGAATTTAACTTCTATCTTTCAAATTTAAGTACTATATATTGTAGAACTTTGCCCCCAACACTTCACCGGGTTTAAGTTCAATCAGAAGAGAGCTCGCGGATTTCTAAATTATAATCCCACACTGGGAGGATTTCCGATTCCAGGATCTTGGAGGGGGCTTTTTAAGGAGGGGAGCCTGTATGTTGGAGAGTAGTCTTACCAGGGTCATGACAACGTAGAACATCATGCTACCAACTTATGCCATCATCTTTCTAGAGATTATAGTTCTAGGTAAGCATAAATTCAAATTTGATCAATGTCTCTCTTTCATCAAGAAACGTCAAAAATTTGGTTACATTCGCATACTTCCTCGGACAAAATGCCAGTTTTAAGTTGATTTTTTTTAAAATATTCAATACAGACTTGAAAACTTTTAAAGGTTTTCTAAGTAGGTCGGATTTGTATATTGTTGGAATAACAGAACAACGACGACCACCACAAACCTAAGAGGTGCGCGTTTCGAACTGTTGATAGTCTATGTTCAGGTTCTCACCTCGGAGTGAAAGGGGATCGACTTCACTTTCTATTCTCCTGTAACGGAATCAAAACGCATTTTCGACTTACGCATTTTTCGAGACAACGTTCCAGTAACGTTGAAGCTGCCGAAACGATTTTTCAAAACAGTCTTTTGAGACCGTTTTTTAATAATTGACTCTCTACCAGTGAAGTGTCCAACGACCACAATCGCTCTTATTTTGTCCAAACGAGGAATGTTCAATTTTATATCCAAAAAGGAAAAAAGGAAGGATAATACCACATATCATAGATAAATGTAATACTTTAGAATATTGTAATAGTTTAAATATGGCCGGTATGACTCTTAGAATTTATATAATGGACATTGCGTTATGCCATAATAAAATTTACAAATTACGTTACGCCTTTTAATTCCAGCGGATCGACCAGATTGTGGAAGGGGATTTTTAACTACCATCTCAACCAACCGGTTGGTTTTTTTCAGATGAAAATAGGTCAAGATAAATTAAATTTACGTTAGTATTCTTATTACATATATAGCCAGCATATTTAGTCGTCTGACCTCTTCGAAAAAGGACAAAAATGTGTAATAAAACTAATTTTTTAATTACATTTTATATCGAGAAATAAAGCTAGTCAAACTAAGAGAAATTGCAATACATAAGTGGTTTTATAATATTTTTTCTGTAAGTAGAAAAGGATTTTCATCTATTCATCTATTTCCTAGCCACGGGCATAAGGTTCCTTTGTTATTGTTCCCAATCGATAAATGAAACTGTAAAAATCTTTGTACGGTCACTAACCCTTTCGTCAAGGAAAAGCACACAGGATGTCATCTACGATACATGTCCAGTTTACATTAAAGATGGCAGACCGTTGTTCCTAGTCGGCATTTTTGAACGTCTTTAGCATTTCAAAGAGAATTAAAGTTTTAAAATCCTCCCTGAGTCTTACATTTCACTTAATCTCTACCTACATTACATTCGAGATCAGGCAGGTCAGGATGATCTAACATGGTCAATAATTAATTGGATAAAATATATATTTCATTTGTAATAATACTTCTTATGTTAATTATAAGTAACGATGTTTTCTTATATTTTGACCTCAACAGTTAATCTTATGATTCTTCCTTCTTGAAGGTGGGATAATAGGTCATCTTTATTTTTCTTAATTTTCAATTCGTGTCTGTCCAATGAGGTGTTGTTTTTATTTTTATTATGAAAGTTTGTCATTATATTGGTTATTGCCGCCCTAACTTCCCCTTTAATAGATGACCTATTATCCCACCTTCAAGAAGGAAGAATCATAAGGTTAATTATAAGTAAACTTCTAGATTCTATGGACATTTAGTTTCGTAAACATCTTACAAAATAATCTATATCTTTGGGAAAACACGTTGGAAAGTCTCCTCCCCCTAAAGGCTCAGTAATTTATTTCATTATAACGTATTATTTGACGACCTGTGCAAAACAACCCTTTTATCTCATTTGAAACTCAATTATATTATCGTTCACAATTAGGCAGAAGTGAATTTTAACCCAGATGCATATCTTCGTTTTGCTAGTTAATTACTTATCCCAGGCATCCGTGATTTTCTTGTGGAAACAATTACCCACAATGTGAAAGTCACTTTGAGGGATGGCTGCCCGCATGGGACAATGGATTCCCGTTCTCAGCCAGATTGCCTCACTCTTACGTCTTTGGAAAAGCGCCGTTCACATTCTTGGTGGATGATTCGAACATTATGGGATTTAAAACTGCAATAGCAGAAAAGATCTACGTGCCTAAACAAAAGCGAAAGAACAACTCCATTATGCGTGTGTAATTAGGACGGTTCCGATCACGGTCCGTCAGAAGCGTTTCATTTTCTTGCCATCTTCAGTGCGGTTCTGTAGACAAAAGCTGCAGAGTTTGAATACATTTCAGTGAAGGTGTAGAAGCATTGGTGGTAATGTGAAGACAGAAATGTCGGGATTCAGTTTACGTTAGATTGCTTGTCAGAACTCTAAAGATCAAGATCGTAAGTCCAGTTGGAGTGGGTCCAGGTGATAAACCAGTTTTGGTCGTCTTCGATTATTTTCATTGATCCACAACCTTTTTTTTCTATCTTCGCTGTTTTTTTTTTGCCTGTCAGACGTCACACTTCTCGCCGTCTTCACTGCGTCGGTTTTAGGACTGAAGGTCTGACTGTAGCAGTAGTGTGAAAAAAAGATGTAGAAGCATTGGTAATGTCGAGAAGTACATTTGACCAAAATGTTGCAAGTTGTTTAAAGGTCAAGTATGGCATGAGCTTTTGGCGGAAATGTTGGTAGTACTCTAAAAGTCAAATGTATAAATCCAGGGTCTAATAATGGTCTTGTGCTAATTTTATGATCTAACTTCAACTTTGTTTTCCTACCAGGCTGAATAGAATTTCCAGTATTTCATTCTTTTCTTTTCAAATAACATCATAAATGTTCTACACGTCTTGCACACGATTCGTTGCCTTTATTGCTTGTGGATCCAAAACTATCAGAGAAGAATGTTCAGACTAACATACACCAAAAACCAAGTGAGACTTTCTCTTATGGTCTGCGAGGTAAGGAACATATAGTTTGGTCATTTTCGGTCTAAAGGATATAAGTAGGTAAAGGTCATTTCCCATTATTTTCATTGGTTCACATAATTTGGACTTGCTGTTTTGGCCCGGCATTTCACAAATTCTGTCAGACTGAAATTTCGAATATAGACAGACCAACACGATCGGAAACGTACTTTTCGCCCCGGGGATCCCAAGAGGAAATCTTGCCATATGGACCTGCTTTCGAATTTCTCTGATTAATTTCGCCTATTCCATCTTTATTTAAAAGTTATTTATTTGTAGCCTATACAGATTTGTATGTATTACAAATGTGATCACCAAACACTTTTTACACTGTCATAGCGCTAACACTAATGCCAGCTTTGCACACCGAGGACGCCTGCCATGAGAAACCGCCAATGCTGGCTCTTAGTAAGAAGGATTGAGGGGCAAGGAGGGTTCTCGGTATGGGAATGTGGGCTTGAGCAGTAGGGTTAGGATGGATCGAGAGGCTGATGTGAAAGTTTTTGAACCGGGAAAGGATCAGTTCATCGCCAAAAGGAATCTTGAGGTCGTCGTAGATAGTGTATTAAAGAGCTTTGACGATCTGAGGACATTTGATTGGAAGGATTGTAGGCGATCGATGTTGGATGCCTTGATGATAACCCACAATTCCACTAGGTATGTCCAAAATGGTCGCAGTAAAGACTTGTATAAAGTTAGTTTAGTTTTGACCAGATTCAAGACTATAAGCCGACGTAGTTATCCAGTTCGTCTGTTAATTTGTTGTTTCTTAAGTGTTATGTGGGGATTCCATGACATTCTGCTGTCTAGGTATAGTCCGAAGTATTTGATTTGAATGGTAGTTTCATTGTTGTTGATGTTCAAGACTGAACTGCAAGACTGTTTTTGGAATGTGAACTGAGTCCATTTTACTCCATTCAGTCTTAACCTCCTCTTTTTGAACCAGTCTTCGATAACCTCAAGGTGTTCTTGGATGCTGGAGGTTGCTTGGATAGGATTCGAATTAGCAGAAAAAATTGCGGTATCGTCTCCGTAGGTGGTGATGATGGTATTGTGGTGGACTGGATGCGCTGGATATTGGGTGGCTTAGCAGTACCCCACAGTTCCACTCCACTATGTCCGTATTGGTCTTAGTAAAGTCTTGTACAGTGTTAGCTTTGTCTTAGTTGTCAAAGTCGATTTTGCTCATAGAAGTCTTCATGGGTGTTAAAGTCTTTTTTAAGTTGTCTTTTTATCTTGTGAGGAAATTCCACGTCAATCTTCTGTTTAGATGTAGCCCTAAGTATTTGACTTGAATGGAAATTGGTATCTCTTGTGATGATGGTATTAGGGTAGGTCAGCAGTATAGTGAAATAAAGGATGGGACCAAAACTGCTCCCTTGTTGCGGACTGATTTCCGAGAACTCTTTGCCGCACCTCACTCTGAAGCAGCGGTCGGTACATAGGATTTAAGGATAAGGTTATAAGGAGGTTGGAGGTTTTTAAGTTTATAAAGCATACTGGGTGCCAGACCCTATCAAAAGCCTATGCTACATCTAAGAATGCACCAAGCAATACTTTTTATTCTCAAAAGCAGAGGAGATGAGTCGACAACTCCGAAGCCTTTTTGGATCGTGGAATGATGTGGACGGAAGCCTAATTAGTGAGAATGATTTTATGAGTATCTAAGATGTCCCATCTTATGTTCTTTCACACTCTTATCGATTACCATTAAATAAATAAGAATGTCATCTTCAATCTCAAAAGCTCAATACAATGGTGATAGAAATGTTAAAAATATAGCACAAGGTATTTATAATGTACTAGTAAAGCTAGTATATACTAATACAGACATACAGGAAGTGAACTTTTGGCACATTTATACAAGATCGTGACGCTTTCTGAATACAAAAGAAGCCTTATTACTGTCGAGCGGTTTTCTGGCCGGTCTGTCATGACCGCTCCGTCCTCATCTTATGAAAGAAACGTCACCTTGTGAAAGCCAAGTAAAACGAGGATAAAGAGAAATTCGTTAAACGATGTCTACAATTCGACGGCATCCTTGAAGACTTTTAACTCTTTGCGGGATGATTAAACGATAAGAAATAAACAAAAAATGAAGCGGGGAGATTCAGATACTGTACGCAGATTTCCATTTTTTCCCCTTTCAACTGCTTAATAAACGATTCGAGATTTTTTTTTACGTTTCCCAAGAGTCGAAAGTAAGATGAAATATGCTATCTGTCATGACCTTAGTAAAAGCAGGCGCGAAGCTTATTTTAAACCCGAAACATTATGAAATTCTACCGGTTCTACCATCCGAAAGTTATTTTCATACGTCCATATTTTTATTTAACGACCGTTTGTAATAATTTTGAATAAAATTCGTGCGCGTTAAATAATACTTATAAAATCCCCAAGATTTACCTAGGAAAATCCCCTGTTAATTCCATGTTCCATGACAAATTATGGGGATTCAACCGGTTAGAAACAATAATTAAGCTTAAAGTCTTACCATTTATGTATTATTGTTATGTATTTATATATCAAATACGAGACAATAATTAAATAATTAAAATTAAGCAACTTAATACTTTTTAAAAGGATAGTTCCTACTCACAGTAAGTTGTTTTGCAACGATCCGGATTTTGAGCCTTTTAGCTCATCATCAGGTTGTAGAAGTCCTTCAATCTGATGATGAGCTAAAAGGCTCGAAATCCGGAACGTTGCGAAACAACTTACTGTGAGTAGGAACTATCCTTCTAAAAAGTATTGAACACCACACTTACTCCATCATATATCATTTTTATTAAGCAACTTATGTATTATTTTTGTTATTAATATAATCAAATATATCAAGTAGCATTATAAGCTCTTCTTGAAATATCTTCTGGGTTGGGATCGTAACCCGTGTCCTGAGACTCTTTGATAGTCAAATAATCAATAGTATTTTAACTTAAAAAAAAGTTAAACACTACCAGGACCTGCATAACGGATACATAAAAATGGTAGACACTAGGTTAGTTCCTCTCAAGATTAGTAGGTAATCATGCTTTCATTTTATTTATTTATTTATTTTTTGAAATCTTGAAAATATTTTGATTTTGTACAACTATGAAGTCGACAACCATATCTTTGTACTTTTCACCCTGAGAAAGAGACTTTCTCTTTAGTAAATAGTGCCACGCTACAGAAGCTACTTCAAGTACATAGATGAGAGTCCTTGATCCGCGGTACTACGAAATGAGCTTTGTAAGTAATTGCCCGCGGATACAATTCCAAAAATACAACCCGGAAAAGGAAATGAAATTCTATCGGCTGTAGGTATTTTGATGTAAATTTGAACAAACCCTGAGATTTAAAAAAATTCTGTGTGAAATCAGTTCAACCTATGACAGATCTTAGTATATAATGATGGTACAAAGGGTTTTATATATAGTCGATTCTGTTGAGGACGGTGTTTTGTGCCCCAGGAAAGAAATATAAATAAGCATTTAAAGCCGAGTTGGCAGAACGAGTAGGGAAAAAAACGGGTTGAGACATGAAGGTTGTCTGGTTCTCGATACGACACATAACTGTTTTTGAAGTCCACATCCGGGCGTTGCCTGGTTTTGCAAGGGAAAATACAATTGACCAAAAAGAAAAAGAAAATCACCCTTCGCTTTTTTACGAAACCAACGTGAAATATAAACTGTACCAAGGATGGTCGAAAGGGGTAATTATTTGTCGTGCTGTACGACGGAACCTTGACCGAAAAACGGCAATTATTGGTGTAATGACAGCCGACCTGTACTCAGAGAAAAGTCAGAGACAATTTGTAATGTTTAACTGGAAATGTGAAAATATATGATTTTTTCGGGATCTAAGAGTCGTATTAAATATTTAATTGATGTAGAGCAGGCCTTTTATCGAGACTGACACTCGGGCTTGCTTTCCAAACTGAAGAACATCCTCCATCATGCGGACTCTCTCACAGTGAGATTTTGCCGAGTCCGACAGGGAATTCTCACCTTAAGTACGCATTAGGACGGGTGTTCCTCAGGGAAGTATTCTTGGTCCTTCTCTATTTTCAATATATACTGATGATATAGCGATTCTAACACCCAACACTTACGACAACATCTGAATGAATTAACAGTATCAGTCACGAAGTAGAGAATGAAAATAAACCTAACGAAAAGTGTACAGATAAATTTTACCCTGCTTAAAAGTATCTGTCCTCTGGTGAGCATATCGAACTTCATTGCCTACCACTGACCTCGTGCGTTTTCTTGGACTTTTCTTGGATAAACAACTGACTTGTTGTCACACAAGATTGAAAAGAAAAAAAAACGTTATAAAAACTAAAATGACTACTTGACTCACGATCAAAATTAAACATTGAAAACAAGTTTTTAGTTTTCAAGACAATGAGACCCCTCTAGACATACGTTTGTGAAGTCTGGAGCTCAACCAAAGATCCCAATTCCCAACATCTCCAATCATTTCTCCTTTGAAATTCTACATCAAATTATAAATGCTGCTTTTTATGTTGCAAATCATACTACTCACCACCACATCCCGCTTGTACATGACCTCATCAAAATCACTATGAAAAATTTCAACAATCCCTGAGAATCCAGAATAATCTACTAGCATAACATTTATCACTTCCAACCCTACCAGAAAATCCTCCAATACGATTAAAGCGAAAGTGGCCCTGAGACCTTCTCTCTGAATGAAGATTTATAAAGTATCACTATGAAGGAGTGTTGTCAGAGGGCAACTTATCCTACACGTGACTCAAACGGCAAATTCATCATATGTAAAAAAAAGAAAAAGAATGAGAAGTGTGATTGATATTACAAAACCAGTAACATCAGCCAAGGTTGATGGACTAGGCATCTGATGCGCAGAAAAGGTGCGGATCCTATCATAGATGATGAATTTTCATTAAAGAAAAAAAGAAACATTTATTAGAAAATTGTTTATTAGTTACCATCTTCGTCTGACTATCCTTGCTGATTTTTGTTAATTCAGACGTGTTTCGGCACTTCGCTATCTTTAGTTTTTGGATGATTTCGACCTGTGGCCTGTTGGGTGATATACCTGAAATTTGGTCGCTTATGATTCTGGCCTGCCTAATCTCTTCAGAATGGTTACGAGTGCCTGCCTCTACCTGCTTATAACCTTGATTCAAATAAATTAACCAACATTTAAAATAGTGAAATTTCCTCCTATGGTCTGCAAATAATAAACCTATTGTTTGATAGCTACCTATTATCCTGGTCTACCTATCCTCGCTGACTTTTCTTTGTTCAGACACATTTCGGCATTTTGCCATCTTCAATGTTTGGGTGATTTCTGTAGACTTCTGTATTACTCCTGAACTCCATAGAAATCGCCCAAACAGTCCGGTAATTATTAGTAAAAATAGTTATTCATATTTTGTTCTTCTCTTCATTCCTTAGTAACTAGTCAAAAGAAAGAAGAAAAAAAAGACGACATCGAGTTCGTCTGCCCTGAAGAAGCTGGAAATGGGAATTTTGCCGATCCTGCTACATGCAGACGATTCTACCAGGTAATTTATATAATAAATAGTAATAATGATAATAAAGTATGAACATTAACAAATGGAAAATTTGTTTATAGTGCGTTGACAACTATCCTTACCTAAACCGATGCCCATCGGGTCTTTATTTCGACGATGTTAACAAATTGTGCACTTTTAAGGCGGAAGCACGTTGTGGACCGCTTCCAACAAGTAAGTCATCTCTACATCCATTATTTTAGTTTAAGTTTTATTTGTAATGCCGGTTTTACGTTATTTTGCTTATATTACAACCCAAGAAATAAAACATTATTTTTGGTATTTCTTATCATGCTTATATACACTCAAAAACAAAAACTGGACACTCCTATTAATTTTCCATAATAACTAGGTATAAATATTAATAATTGACTTAAAACGTCACAGCATTAATAATATGTTGTTTTCCTTAATAAAGCATTCTACTCATTTTACATTCTTTAGATTAAAAATAAAGAAAATCAGATCAATTTCACCCTTTCCAGAGCCAACTTGTCAAACAAGTTAATTGGTTTTTAAATTATTTTCTTTGATTAAACAATAAATATGAGTAAAAAGTTAATTATTAATTTATTCTTAAAAACTCGGTTTTAAGTTGAGAAGATCTCGCCAAGCAGGTGATTTGACCAATGTTGCGTTTGTTAAAGTCCTGGGTGTGCCACATGCTACCATCCACGGTGGTTTACATTGGTTTAGTGCCACTGGAAGTTGCAAGCTAAGAGAAGATAGTTGTTGACCAATATGCACGATGGCTGGAGAGAATATTTTGATTGCTTTTAACGCTCTAAGGAACTGTCAATTAATAGCTTCCTTGATAGGTAGACAACTACAAATGGTCCATAATATCAGGGTGAGCTCTAAAACAGTCATTAAAAGGCTCCATGAGAATGTCCTGCATCAGGTTCTCTACTACTGGAGAGGTATCGAATAGAAAGGCAAATTCGCAAATCAGCATGCAGCAGCAACATTCGAACAATGAAGAAGGGACTGTTCTCTTTACAGATGAGTGCCGGTTTGGTTTATGGCAATCACATGACTGCGACCATTGAAGTGGTGAAGATGTGGAGAATGCTTTGCTTGATATTCCTCGGCCTTTTCCAAGACTGTTATACCAACATCAATGGAATCAACATCCATGCTCATACCAAACTGATTATCATACAGAATGTATCTTTGACTGCACTAAGGTACATTGAGGAAGATCTTCTGGAAGCTGTGGCCCTTTCGCTCCATTTATTGGGGCTACCTCATGCTAATGCATGATAATGCTCAACCCCCGTGGCTCGAGTTGTTGCCCATCGCTTGGAGGATGTAGGTATCACCACAATGAATTGGCCAGCATGTTCTCCTTACATGAATCATACAGAACACTTATGGGACGTAGTAAAGAGTTGGGTTTCAACAAGTGTTGAACAATTTCAAACTGCTCTTGTTGAAGTATGGGATTCTGTTCTACAAAACAAAATCTGGTCACTTATTTACTTGATGCCTAAGAGCCTTAAGGCCCTCTACGAGGCCAGAGGAGATAATCATGTTATTAAGAGCAAAACCTGTTGTGAAGATCCCCAGAAGGGAATCTTAAATGGGGTTGTAAAAATTTAAGTTTGTTATAAATATTAAAATTAGACGTAGAAATAGTTTAGCTAATTGTTGGGAAAGCGTATTGTGCCGGGGTGAGTAATCGGAGGTGGCCTGGAATCGCAGGAGCCGACGCAGTCTTTCTTGAGAACTCCAGACGCAGTCTTTCTTGAGAACTCCAGACGCAGCTAAAAAAAAAGCTGGCGAAATAATAACAGCTGATGTTTTCGATTGAGAATTTCGATCCCGGGGCAATCACCCTAGAAAAATTGGCTGTTGTGCTGACGAGTGGCCTTATTTCCCAGCTCTCAGGATTAGCTGATGTGCCCGGACTCATCCGAAATAGCTCAATGACCTGGGGAGGACAAAGGGGGAAGCATAGCAGTATTTTTGAATGCAACTGTTCCCCACCTCCTCCCTGAACGGATTGATATAAAAAGGACAATCAGAGAGTGGAATTGAGAGAATCCGGGTGGAGTCCAAAGAGAGAATCCGGGTGGAGTCCGAAGAGAGTCCAGAGAGAGAATCCGGGTGGAGTCCGAAGAGAGTTCATAGTTGAGTCAGTCGGAGTGTCCGGTGGAATGACAAGTGAGTCTGTCAAACAGAGTCAAAAGGGGAACTGGTGCAGCAAATTAGTCAGCGTAGTTCGCAGGATCCATACCACCGAACCGACGAAACCGATAACAAATTTTGTCAATTGGTTTGCGGAAGATTTGGAGAACAGTTGGGCGATTTCGGGCTACTGTTAGTCTACAATCCCAATAATTAAGCCCCTAGTATTAAGGTTTCGTTAAAGAGAGTAAAAGCATTAGTTATATCTAGAATTAGTCTTCCAGTAATAAGTTTGTATATGAATTGTTTAATAGGAAATAAGGGTTGCTATTTATAAGAAGGGTTAGGGCGTTATTCACTAGTTGATTATACATATTGGGAATTGTACAGTTATATCAAATAAAGGGACCTGGTTGTTCAGTCTGAATTGGTGTATCTTTCCCCTAAACCTCCTTCTCCAGAGTTAGAAGTAAGTAAGTAAAGGGTGTTCACCCGTCAAGCCGGGCAACCTGACAAATCTTACCCCTAAAAGGCTTGACGGGCCTAGAGTGGAGTAGGTCGCTACCCTCTTGGAGCACCCTAGTGAGTGACGGTATTTGAACGAGCCACAAGCCACGAGCCGCACGCACGAAAAAAGGGAAACCGCTCATCACACCTGGAATAAATTGTTAGTTAAATTTTAATCTATCACTAAACAATTTTCCAGTGTTTTGGTGAATTTTCTGTCAAACCATCATAATTAAATAATTTTTACTACAACCCATGAATTCCTGATCTCAAATTATTTGGTTTAACTAAAATAAGTATTTTGTTACTACTGTAACAATAGAAATGCATAAAGTTTGAAATAAACAACAAAATATGAGTGCCTGGTTTTTGTATTTGAGAGTATAATTTATTTAAAGTTTATTAAATATTGATTAAAAATGTATATATTGAAAGAGGTTTTGAGTTTTTAACACTTTCCAATTTACAGTTGGGGCAGTTCCAATTATTTTAACCTGCCTGCTGCTTTGGTCTGCCATATATGTTTAGGCTTTTCAACATGCAAATCGTCAGATCCACTATTAGAGTAAACAGGATAGGCAGACCAAAATAATCAGAAATAACCAAACTACCGATAGAGGAATCTCATACTTTAACTGTAATTAAGTTGTAATATTTTTAGCTCCGGCTCCAAGCACCGAGCCGCCTGTAGACTTGGCTGAGAAGTGCGATTTATCTCAATGCCAGCTGCCGTACTGCTTTTGTTCACGAGATGGGACGCTTATCCCTGGCGGCCTGGATCCTGAAAAGGTAACATGTCCACGATGAGAATTAAGCCGTTTGTTAAACAAGATCTGATTTTAGACACCTCAAATGATCCTGCTGACATTCGACGGTGCAGTGAACTTGAACAACTTCGACCACTACAAAAGGGTCTTCTCTGAAAACCGTCAGAACCCCAATGGATGCCCCATCAAAGGGACTTTCTTCATCTCCCACGAGTATTGCAATTATAACATGGTCCAGGAGCTGGCCCACGAAGGCCATGAAATTGGAACGGAGACAATTTCGTAAGAGAAGATTTATATACATTTCAAGGAATGTTGTATATTTATTGCCAATGTACAGTACAATTCCAACTAATTATTCTTTTCTTCTAAGATTTTTATTGAGATGAAAAATTAGTGTCATGAGAGGGTATCGAACCCATGACTTTCGGCTCAATACACCACTGCTCTAACCTTTCTGCCAGAGGGGATCGAAGTCATGATAGTTCAAGTGGTTACAGCAGTGGCCGAAGGTCGTGGGTTCGAATCCCGCTCGTGTCACTAATTTTTCATCTCAACAAAAACTTTAGATGAATAGAATAATTAATTGGAATAATTAATATGGTCAATTATGGCCACTAAACAAATATGGATTAGTACAGTATAATATGTATTAATTCCCAAAGCCCAAAACTAATTATAGTATAATAAACAGTAGATAATTTCAACTGGCAAAATATATTTAATTATTGTTACTGTTCAGAAATAAAATGATTCTGACAGATCTGCTCAAGAGACTGGTAGAACATCAAATAGAGACCATCGCATATGCGGACGACCTGGCAGTAATTATTAAGGCTAACACGAAAATTGAAATAGAACGTAAAGGGAACGCTACTGCTGCCATGGTGCTGGACTGGTGCAAGTCAGTTAAGCTGAGTGTAGCACCGGAGAAGACTGAAATGTTGATGCTTAAAGGGAAATTGAACACCCGATCACCTCCGGTCATCAGGATGCAGGGTGTTACAATTAGAGCACCTACTGTAGTAAACTACCTCGGCATAAAACTGACAGCTGGAGTAAGAACTTGAAGCAAATGCCCTAGCGACATACGAGAAGCTACCAGCGAGAATGGCCGCGATTAAGGCAATGAGCGGTGCTACCTGGGGGTCGTCGTACAGAAGTAGACAAATATTAATAATCGACTCGGTGATCCTTTATGCTGCCCCTGCGTGGACACATAGTCTACGGTCAGATGGCTGGAAAACCATTGAAAGGGCACAAAGAATATCATTGCTAGCGATTACCCAAGCATATCATACAGTATCCACCGATGCGCGCCTTGTAATAGCAGGTCAATCGCCAATCGAATTACGAGCGAGAAGTGCTTGTGCAAAGTGGGAACTGCAAAACAGTATAACCCCATGCATACCTGTATGCAGTGAACAAGAAGCAGCAAATTGGGTTCTAGAGCAGTGGCAACAAAGATGGGACAATAGCTTGAAAGGCAGATATACTTATAAAATATTCCCAAACGTAGCAGAGCGAATGATCAAAATAGATCATTACATGGCACAAGTATTAAGCGGTCATGGGGACTTCGCGGAGAAGCTGAATAGCTTCAATATCCGCGAATCACCCCTTTGCGATTGTGGAGAGCCGGAGTCTGTGGAACATGTAGTGTTCAAGTGCAGAAAATATAAAGATGCCTGCAGAAAATGGTTAAATAAAATTGGAGAAAACAGGGCAAACACAGATACGCTAGCAAGAGCAATGATAGCAAAAAACAAATTTCGCTCTACCTGTGAAATGGTAAGAACCATCATGAAGAGTAAGAAATGGCCAGTAGCAAATGGAGTCGAAGAAACACCATGAATGCGGCCATATAGCCTTCCCATCAATCCCGACCAGGCACCTCCCCGTGGGCCATCCTGGGCACGGCATCTTGGCCGTGGCTGACGCCTGGGATGGGAAGGCCGGACCACTAGAGCAATAGACAAAAAAACAAAAGAAAAAATCTGGTTAGAACCCTAATTGGGCAAAGGAACAGAAATACATGGAAGGAGCTCTAGTGGGTGGATGTTGAGGAAAGAGCTTTGACCGGTGGTTTTTGAATGGTGGGATATCTTGTGGAGGAAAAATGTCAGAACAGATCCTCCAAAAATTGGATGTCTAGGACTTTGAATTGATTCATTGGGTAGTGGAGGATTTCCATAAGCCCCACATCTCAATTCAGTCCAAATCAGAATACTGGGTGTTGTGCAAGTACAAGTGGTTGGTCTGTTGTGTATACAAGTTGTCTGAGCTGTTCATATCTTTTGTTCATTTCTTGTCTTAATTCTATGTGGGCTATTCAAGTAAAACAAAGGTAGCAGACTTAGTTGTTTATGTGCACTGGTGGGCAGGTGTCAGAACTCAATATGAACATGAACATAAAATTTGTTGGACATTAAGCTTGATATGGTTTAATGAATGCATCAGTCGGTTAGTGAGGTCAATAAGTTCTTAAATAGCTTCTGTTGCTAGGCTAGGGTCGGAGTGTGTGGATACAATCACAGTGACTTCTATGTTATAGTTTGTGTGTTTGATTGTGTGGATATATCAGAAGTGTAGAGTGTGTAGAGGATTGGTCCGTGGATTGTCGGCTTTTATTAGCATGATGGCTTGAAAAATCAGAGCTGATTTTCAGTTTAAACCAGTGGTCAGATAGGATGGACTTTAGGACATTGCTTTCCTGTATACTCGGTCATCCTTAAAAGGACAATGAGGATCTTTAATGTCTTTACCTAGCCTTTAAGACTTTAGAACAGTAGAGTAAAGAGGAAATTTTTTAAATTGAAATGGAGATTGGGGTACCACACTTAGTTGAATGCTTTGGTAAGGTCCAGAAATAGAGCTGAGCAAAATTTCTTAAAATAGTTATACTTATTTAAAATTGTGTCTGTTGAAATTATCTATTTTTGAATGTTAATATGTGGGGTTTTTGTGGTCACCTAATTAAACTAAAAATATTTTTTAAAACCTTGAAACATAAACCATGAAAGTATTCATAAGAAAATAACTTTTTTATGCATAGATCCATTTTCCCAGTACATATATTGATGATGATGAATATGTAAACAAGAAGTGGCGTTTTTATGTCCCCAAGCAGTACATATATTAGAAATCAACTTCCATATTTATAGAATATAATATAAAATTTATAATCATAACCTATAAGCATAATTGATTTATTATAAAGTAAAAAATAAAATATAATGCTAAGATTAAAACTCTCAGTTTGCAGAATGGTCTCCAAGACAAAGGATATGAAGAATGGGTCGGCGAAATGATCGGGATGCGAGAAATTCTTAGGCATTTTGCAAACATATCTAGAAGTGAAATCGTTGGTATGAGGGCACCGTTCTTAAAACCAGGAAGGAATACGCAATACCAGGTTTGTTTTTTCATATGTTACCTATAGTTGTATGAAATAAAATGTGTTCAAATTATTTTATTACTAAGAAAGTCAACTTATCTTCAGTTATAACTGTATAACATACTGTCACTGCTACTGTTGGCATATAATACCTGGGAATGTACTGGTAAAACTCTGATGTGAAAGCACACACAAAATGACAGGGCATGAACCACATGATGCAAATTTAAACTTTAGAAACTAACTTAACCTCTAAAAAAAATTGTTTCTGAAGTCTGAGCTTAGCTGGCTTTGTTTTCGATATTTCAATGGAGTATCATTGTATATGTTTCCAACGGGGGTAAGTGTAAAAGTTTTCCAAGCTGAAATCATAGCAATTGAAAACTGCATTAGAGAAATAAAAAGAATAGGAACACATTGCAGGAAGATTTTCATTGACAGTATGGTGGTACTTAGGGCCTAAGGAATTCCTGGCATAAGTTTGTGGATACCATTGACCATTGTCCATGGCAAGGGTCCCTGGGCATTTGGGACATAAAGGTAATTAGAAAGTGGGCATGTTAGCCCACAAAGGCTCCAAAACTTACCACTTGGCCACAAAAAAGGATATATTCAAAAATGAATTTTTTTTTTATGGTATTTCAATTACGAGGTTATATCAACCCATGGGGTCGCTGGTTGTAAGCATGTAAGCCAATTTATAAGAATGTCGGATTTGAATGCAGGGCTGCTGGATTAGAACCCAGGACTTTACCTTACAGTGCTGATCACCATGTCGACGCCTAAACAATTGCGACCAACAACGCCCTACAATGGATCCTTCATGAGTCCAGAACTAACACCTCAGGAATGAGTCACGCAAAAGATTCATAGAAGGGCCATCTGAAAGACTTACATAAGAATTACTAGGAAGTAACCACAACAAAATCAGGATTATGGTTGGACTCCTGACTGGGCAATCAGAAGAAATACTTTACGGATGCTACCAGGGACTAAACCGAGGAGCCCATAGAATACACTTTGAGCTTTTGTGGGGGTAAACAAGATCCTTCAATAAGGAGCTGCTGGAAAGTTATGGAGGTTGACTAACAGCCTGAAGCTGATCAGTGAGTTATAAAAAAAAAGAGGAACACAATAAATGTACTCAGGTTGAGGTCCTATCTCATCTTCTCTACCTGGAAATCCTCCCCATCTACAGAAGTGCTACTGAATGGTCACCAGAGAGTAGCTTCTCTTGTTATGTGACCCAAATGATATTTATACAGATTACTATTTTATTACCAAATTAACTTATTTCAACTAGGATTGTAGGTGTAAAATAAATATTATGGGTTGATTCCTATGTTTGCATATGTGTAATGAATAATTAAAAGTATATATGGTTTGTTAAAATCTACACATGAGATAACCTTTTTAGATCTCTTTTCGTATTTATTAAATGTTTTATCTTTCATTTATGTCTGTTATATTCAACGATGTATGTCAAAAGTATAATTTAACAAAAACATTACAAACTATTAACTAATCATTAGCTCAAGATAAAATTATTAGCTTAAGATAAAAAATTTAACGATATTGGGTTGTGGGATGTGCAGTCAATACAGAAAACAAGCTTAGTGCTCAATTCTTTAATTTTGCTAACGTTTCGAATGATTTACATGATTTTTTTAATGATTTACTTTATTCCAGTGTGGTCTTGAAAAAGAATATAAATCATTTGAAACGTTGGCGAAATTAAAGAATTGAGCACTACGCTTGTTTTCTGTATTGTCTGCACATCCCACAACCAAACATCATTAAATTTTTTATCTTAAGCTAATGATTAATTAATAGTTTGTAATGTATTTGTTAAATTATACTTTTATATTACATTGCAGATTGCCTAGTTCTTATAGTAATAATTGTAACCTTGATAAAATCTGAATAGCTTTATTAAATATTAGTTATAGATGCAGTCTGATATTTCAATGGCTAACTAGAATTAAATCTAGAAGTATTCCTTGGATTGAAATCGTTATTCAATTTGATTTGAGATGAAAAAGCTAGTCAAGAGTGGGATTCGAATATCCTCAATTTGCCGCTGCTCTAACCATTTTAGCTGTCGCGATTTCAATCCATTTGGACACCAATTCTTCATTTCAACCTGCAATCTATAGAATTTTCCCTTTTTCATGTCATTAGCATTTTATCTTAACCAAGACCTTATATAAAATGTAAAATTTAATTTAAATAACTAATACAATTGATTATGACTCTAAATACATATATGAATGTAATTTAATTTTTTTTTAAATTTGATATATTTTGTACTTGTTTTCTAGGTTATTGAAGACTTTGGTTTCATTTATGACAGCTCTGTGGGAATCCCACCCTATAAAGTCCCGATCTGGCCTTATACTTTAGACTACAAGATCCCTCATGAATGCAAATCTGGGACATGCCCCACAAAATCATTTCCAGGTATGTTGCTGATGAAGTTTTCCTTCTCTGAAGTTCACAAAACATGTTGTCCTAGGCATCTGGGAAGTTCCATTAAATGCCCATTTTGTTGAGACATACGAGGGTGGCCATTGCCCGTACCTAGACCAATGTGTGCTCCATAATCACGATGCCACCGAGGTCTTTGAATGGCTCAGGGAAGATTTTGAACGCTACTACAACCAAAACCGGGCACCTTATATGATGCCGTTCCACACCAACTGGTTCCAGATCAAGGAGCTGGAAAATGGCCTTCATAAATTTATTGACTGGGCTAGCAACCTGTAATATTTTTCACAAATTGTTTAAACAAATGGATATCTATTTTTTAAATTTCTAATTTTATTTTAGAGAGGATGTTTGGTTTGTGACTGTTACTCAAGCATTGACTTGGGCTACAGATCCAAAATCTACAAAAGAGTTGAGCACATACGAACCTTGGAAATGCAACAAAAAGGAAAATCTTCCTCCAAAGCCGTGCAATCTACCTAACAAATGTGCTCTCTCTTTCAAGCCCCCAGAGGCCAACTTCACAAGTACAAGGTTTGTTTTCTCATAGAATGAAAAGATCATAATTTCAACCAATACTTAATTTTTTTAGGTATTTAACAACATGCAGAGAGTGTCCTAACAAGTACCCATGGCTCGGCGACTCCGAGGGTACAGGAATCGCTGGAAGGGATGTCTACCAAAGGGAAAACTAATCATCTCAATATTCTAAATAAAAGGCTGCAGTTTTAAATGTTTCAAAATGAGGAAACAGTCGTATTTCTCATAACAAACCATGAAGACTTGTAATGTACAGGTGATGTCGTGTATATACAATATTAAACAAATATCATCTGTATTCTTGTTTTATATTTGTACCTTATAAAATAATAATAAATAATAAAGTATTGTAATTCACACTGTGTCTAGTACAAATTAAAATTCACGATCAAACTGAAATATTAACATTCAAGAATTGACTCCTTGAAATATGATAAAGGTTGCGCAAAAAATATAAAAAATTGAACTAACAGAAGGTTGGTTACAAATAAATAAATTAGTTGGAACAGGTAATTTGTATTTTTAATATTTCCAAGATTAATTGTTTATATTTTCACAATATATGTCAATTCAAAACATTAGTTGTGAATATTATCAATGAGGAACGAAGAAATAAAATCTTGTGTCTAACTAGCGATGAACTAGTGTTAGAAAATACTGGAGCTTATTTTTCAACATTGGTAACTATAAAAAAATTATATTGCAATTAAATTAATCTATTATTTACTTTTGAGTTTGTCCAATTAATGAAAGTAATTATTTTAATTATTATGCAAAGTATGGTTGAGATGAAAAATTACTATTTTAATCCATATATATTTAGTAGTCATAATTGACAGTATTAATTATTTTAACAAATTGAAGAATGGGATCAGGTATGCCTTCCTCTTAATAATCTCTCCTTAACAAAAATAAAATCAGCACATTCAGATACTTCGTTCATTTTTGTTCTTATATTTTTACTTTATACTTTTGTGACAAATTCTAGTCATGGCTATGATTTACTTAATATAGTAAAATATTTATTTAGTAATACATAATAACTTAATATAGTATAAAGTAAAAACATAAGAATAAAAAATGACCGAAGTACCTGAGTGTGTGCCATTTTTATTTGTTTTTTTTAAAGTAAGTTTCCAGCCCGGCTTAATAAAAAGCTGAAAACTTGGTAAAAAAGATAATACTACTTCATTTTGGACCACATACCTGATTCGAATCATCAATTTGTTAATTATTACTGGTTGATAATTTTCTATGCTATTAATTATTTTAATTAATATATACTTTTTAATGAGGATATTTCAACTACAAGATTAAATGAATCCTAGGGGTGGTGTTTTTGAAAAAAAAAAAAAATAGCCCATTTGTAAGTATGTAGGGTTCAAATGCAGGGCTGCTGGATTTGAACCCAGTACCTTTACTTTAAAGTGATGAGCACCTTAAATCTTGAGGAACATGTGGTGCCATTTGTTTCATTTATTGGCGAACAATTTTTGTTTATGCAAGATAATGCAAGGCAACAGTTATTATGCAGAACTTTTGAGATGTGAACATTCACACCTTAAGACCGTATTCCTGATTTGAACCCCAATGAGTACTTTTGGGGCGAGCTTGGCCATTGGGTAAAATGAAAAAGTAACCCACCTACCGCCTTAGCGTTAATTGAGATGTGGGCTGAAATTCCTCAAGAAGTGATTAAAAGTTTAATTATGAGCATGCTGAGAAGTTTAGAGGTTGTTATAAAAGCAAGAAGAGGTAATAGACCAAAGTACCACACAAAAAAATCAAAATTTCAAAGTGCGCCACTTTTTTATGGAGCAGTGTATGTATAATAATTGTAAAAATACTTCATTGTTGCATGTAAAGTACCCAGAAAGAAATTTTTCTCAGACTAAAATTTATGTTAAATTATTAATTCCTAATCTTTAGTTAATTTTTTTTTAAAGTAACTAATTGTAGAGCATTATCGGTTGTTATGTTTATGTTTTAATGGCAGTTAATTAAATTGTTAATTGTGTGAAGATTGAAAGTTTATGAGCTGTCACATGCTCGAAGCCTTAAGTTCTCTTGTTATGAAAAAGTCAAAAGGCACGGAATTCATTGTTATTATTGATGTTATACTAATTTCCTAAAGTCAGACTAGCTGTTGTACATTATACTAAGATTTTATCTGGTATTTATTGTATCTTTCACCAATAGATGACCATATGCCACAATTGGGCCAATTACCAATTTATAATGCACAATAACACACTTTTTAACCAGGCATCCCTAACCACTTTTGGTTTCAGGCACAGCTATTTACTTAAGTTCTTTCTGATGCTTAGATATATATGTCTCGTTGTGAATTCCAGATTAGTTTTCTGTCCTAATGGGCACTTATACTGTCGATGATCTGCAGTTTTAAATAAGGGTGTCTAAAAACCCGTATATACTTTCTGAATGGTACTGAAGATGTTTTGCTAGGGTTAATTTTGATGGCTTTAAAACATCAAAAATGAAGGTGACCTAAGTTATCTGTACACCATTTTGCAAAGATGCCTTCAGAACAGCAGATCATCAGAGAGAGAGAGAGAGAGAGAGAGAGAGAGAGAGAGAGAGAGAGGGAGAGAGAGAGAGAAGGAAAGCGAGAGTGAGAGAGAGTGAGAGGGAGAGGGAGAGAGAGAGAGGACACAATTCCAACCTAGGGACCAGGGGTTGTCCTACCATTACATAACCGTATCGGCAAATTTAGTGGCGATGGTATATTTTTAGATTCGCTAATCTTAACAAAATTGACAACTTGTGAGATTTCTTAATGAGTTATGCGAGGTGATGAACCTGTAGTCAGGTCGTATCCTTTGGCCTTCCTATTATCTCTGTTTTGTTCTATCAGACTTAACCTTTTTGCCATCCTCAGTAATAATTCTGTCGCTAGAAAAGGCAATGGCATTACACATCGTGACCCCTAAGGGACGGTAAAGTGATTTTCGTCAGGAAAATCGGCACCCATGGCGATAGTCACCCATCCTAACAATCCCGGTATGGCGGACATAATAAAAGCCATCCTTCTACCGTATCGGTACAGGTCCAACAATAGGACCGACAACGAAACAGCCCACGATCATGGAAAGTGGTGGAATGCTTCCTTAAAAAAAACTAAAACCAACAATAATTTCAACACAAGTGCAATTGTACGACCTCTAAAAAGTGTTTACAAATTGTATCTAAAGCCTGTAGTTTGGCCGTGCCCGTTCAGTTTGGTCTGCCCAACCAGCTTGAGCTGGTTTTTAACTGCCAGTCGCTTGTCACTCGGCCATTTTCAATTGGTGTACTTGCCTCTCCCTGCTTAAATCCTTAATGTGACACACTGTCCAAATAAACGAACAAAATTCAGCTTTCTTTCGTATCTTTGCTCAATTGACTGCTCGAAGTCATGGAAAGGTGAAGAATGCATCCTGAAAATACAACAAAAATTGTTTCCTCTGCGTGATACGGGCTGTATTGCCGAGTTTCTTCAGCTTCCAGACGACATTTAGCCAGTTTTTTTAACGAAAAATCGTTACAGAGAGATATGCTAACGACATGGCATTAGCAACCAAAATGCGAAGTTCTATAATATTTAAGCAAATCTACGAACCCAGAAGTTAAAAAAAAAAATCAATTCTAGTTTCAACTCAAGATCTCGCCTTCAGTGCTTGTCCTGGAGAATATAAACAGGGAGATGCAATGGCACAAAATCGCCGATGAAAATGGCGATATGTCGAAATGAATCTGAGTCATCATCACTTCACAAACGTTATTATAAATCTCACAAGATGATCTGTTTATAAATTTATATATGAATACTTTACAACCTATTTAGTATATCAAACATCAATACTGTCTACGGAAATTAATATAAATAATATACGTATAAGACAACAATCCGTTTATCTTCCAACTGAATGTTTGCAGCTATCTGAAATGTGTCATAGCACACACGATTTCTTCAGAGCGAATTGTGAAAATTTAAATTCTGAGAAATGCTACAGACGATTGTTTTTCTTTAGCAAAAGGGAAAGAGCGAAATGTATAACGGAATAATTGAGCCTTTTGCCCTGATGTAATCTTATCTACGAAAGACGTGAGATCGCCCACGGGTTCGGCATTCGGTTATCAATCCGCAAACTCGAAAGCCGATCCGATTATTATATCATTTGAACACCTCGGACAAACAATATTTTAGGAAAAATCATCAAAATTCTACGGTTTTCCGTGCAGTCGGATCATCACAGTGTACATCACCATTTCAAATTCGATGTTTCCAAAAAATATGACTATTGTAGTTCTTGCTATTTTCCTTACTTTTTAAAATCGATGCTGGATTTAACGAAACAACGGGGTTTAAGAGAGGTGTTAGATACAAGTAGTAAACGAAGAAAAAATTTATAAATGTCCGATTCAACGGTAAAAGCAAATACAAGGGAAAATCACTATAATTTACAAACGTTTGATAAGCTGATTAAACTTTCTTTGGGGCGATAAAATAGTAGGAAACGGGGTTTCATCAGTGAGGTTCCTCTCGTCGAAGAGGCCGGCCGAAAAATCACTCCATGCAGGATGAACCTATCCACCCCAACTCAGGTATTTATGTCTTACTTCTCTATTTACTATTTTTTACTTTGTCTATTATATCAATTACAACGTCTACGGATAGAGTTCAAATGGAAAAATGTCTAGAAAGTAGATTATTCAAATTTTGTTGCCTCCTTCCTGTAAAATTCAATCAACCATTGACATTTTTCCATCGAGCTATTTGATTTGAACGATTAATCACCTAACAAATTTTTGAAATAAGTAGTCAATTAGTAAAAAGGGGATTTGCATTAATCGTATTTATTTTCATAAAATAATACGCCTTGGCTCCTTACAAGGAGCGAATAGGCATGGCACCTGACGTAAAGACAGTCCTTGGGTATGAGAGTGGGTTGTTGGGTCCCCTAGCCCGATTTTTAAAGGAAACGGGTGTTTCTCCATCTGTAAATATTATACACAATTATTGTGCAGCTCTAAAGTCCGTTGTATATATTTGTTTGTGCGAGGGCAGATGGCGGAATATCGAGTACTCCCCCGGCCCTTATGGTGCTTTGGAGGATGTTATGAGTCCATTGTCGGTAGCCGCAAAAGAAGTAGTAGTAAGAAGTAAAACGTAATTAGTTTATAGTTAAAAAAAACAAACTATTTAATTATGCAGGATGAAAGGTTATACCACCCTAGGTTTCAGCTGTTTTTGGCCTGCGTCTTGCAATTTGAAAGATCAATAGTAATCCCACAGACAAAAGAATATTATATAAATAAAAAAAAGAGCGTTTACACCGATAATAATCAAGGTTGATTCATTAGCCGTGTTGCTCTCACGCAACGCATTAATCTCACATTAAGTAAAAAAACTCAGTAGTCAGATTTCTTCTTGGGATCGTGTATTTTGGTCGATTCCTTTCATTCTGATCAGACGTATTCTGGCTTGTCGCCATCTTGAGTGGTGGCTCTGATTTATGTTATTCGAGTTCCTATAAATTCGTGAAAGATAACTATACATAAAAACTTCTCCCCGATTTAATGGTCATCTAGGGATATAAGCAGGGAGAGGCAGGAAAACCCACTGAAAATGGCGGTTGAAATGATTTTTTTTTGTATAAATACTCAATTAATTGTACACAATTTTTTTCGAAATGAAAAATTGTGTACAATTAATTGAGTATTTATATGTTTAATAGAAGCTGATAAAATTTAGTATGATTTTTTTTTGGTTAAGCGTGAGGTTTTTAGGTCTGCTTGAATGTTATACCGCTTCGCCCTTTGGGCGCCAATATCATGTCGGTTTCTATCAATCTCTCACGATTTCCGTCAAAATATTGGCTAAAGGTTGTCTGGAAACTAAAGAAACTCGGTAATACTGCCAAACTCAGAAGATATATTTTATTGTATTTTCAGCAGGCATTCTTTACCTAGCCATGATAGCGGGCAGTCAAATTATGGATAGATACGATAAAAGGAGCTTTGCTGGTTTATTTGGGCAGTGCGTGACGTTAAGGGTATAAGCAGGGAGAGGCAGGCGCACCAGCGGAAAATGGTGTCTGTCTTAAAAACCACCGTGAGCGGGCAGAAGAAACTGAACGGGCACAACTTATATCGACTTTAGAAAACTTTTGTTTGCGGCCTTCCTACGCTTGTTTAGTCTGTTATGACAAGTTTCGGTACTTCTTCATATTCAGTGGTGGGTTTGTGCCTTTCTCTGCTTACCATTTCCATGCTTGACGACCAAAACTTGGTTGTTTTTAATTTAAACTAACTTCTGGATTTTTAGGTTGGATTGAGTCTTATAGCACTTGGCAATTTGGTAGCTAATGGCATGTCAGTTTCCTACCCATCAGTCGCAATTCCCGCCATAAAATTAGCTAAAGGTCGACTAGAGCCTAACGAAGCTTCATGGATCGGTAAAACAGCTAATATCATTGTGAATGCGGAAAATATATATTTTTTTTTTTCAGGAAGTATTCCACAGCTTTCCATGATCGTGGGCTGTTTCGTTGTGGGCCCTATTGTAGATAGATACGGTAGAAGGATGGCTTTTATTATGTCCGCCATACCGGGATTGTTAGGATGGGTGACTATCGCCCTGGGTGCCGATCTTGTTTGGGTATACATCGGAAGGCTCCTGACAGGCGTTTCCATGGGATTCAGCACAGTCACCACTTCTGTTTTCCTGGCGGAAATCACCTCACCGGCCCTCAGAGGACCGATCACGATGGGTAAGGCCATAGCTTTTTCTACCGGCCTCACGTTTATGTACGTAATCGGATGGATATTTCAGGTTCGTCTTTCATATCGTTAGTCTAGTTATGCCATTTTTAACAGGGTGTTTTGACATTTAGGGCGACTGGCGTATCGTTGCTATCGTGGCAGCCCTCGTCCCTTCATTGACACTCATTATGATTTTGAAGTACCTCCCTGAATCAAAAATATGGGAAGAACAGAGTCCTTGTTCGAACATATCGTATAAAAAGTTCTTCACCGAGTACAGGAAAAGACCTGAAGTTTATATACCTTTCAACATAATGAATATTCTCCTTATTCTCAGACAACTCTCAGGTACCAGTGTCATCTTGGCGTATGCCGTGAGTTTTGTGATAACGGACCGTATCGGCGTTTGGGATTGTAATCGGTATTCTGTTGCAGAATGACTTTTTGATAAAAACAGGCGTTCATAGCGGAAAAGCCAACCAGGTTTCTGTCGCTATCGGGTTTACGAGGATCATATTCGGCCTGGTCGCCGCCTGGCTGTCCAAGCGATTCGGTCGCAGGAAACCCGTCACCTTCTCTGGGACAATAATGGCCCTCACAATATTGGGACTTTCGCTTTATCTTCGGAGGAGCCAGGATCTCAGCCAGCCAATCCTTATAGTCGGCTTCGTCGTTTTCGTAGGTTCGTCTACAATATTCACCGGCATCATGCAAAGCATCGTTGGCGAGGTGTTTCCATCCGACGTCAGAGGGGTGAGACCAACAACTAAATTCATAGTTAATCATAAACAGACATAACAATTAATTTTTAACATACTTCGTTGTGAGTGTAACACCTTTGCTTCTTGGTGAAAAATTACTAAACTTATGAAAGAAGATATAAACTTACAATCGATATATCTTAAACAGACCCGATTCAGTTACATTTTTAGAAATTGTTTTTTTTTTAGATGTGCAGCGGTTTGACATCCTGCACGACTTACACAACAGCATTCGTAGCGTTGCAGAGCTTTCCCTGGCTCTCCTCGGGCCTGGATGGAGGTCAATTGTTAATGGTATTCGCCACATTTTGCGTTGTTTCGGCCATCGCAACTATAGCACTTTTACCCGAAACAAACGGAAAGACACTCGAGGAAATACGGCAAATTTTTGCAAAAAACGGTAAGCGGTGATAAAAGTTTTTGCGTAACCGGCTTGTACAAATTATGCTACAACTTGAATCTCCATAGTCAATAAACGTCAAATTTCTCGAATTCTCAAATATATATCAACATAATATCAACTGTCCCAGTTGATGATTGAGGATGTGTTGGGTATTGCTGTTATCATTCTGCAGTTGTTGGTTAGAGAATTGTGGCACGTGAAGTCTGTTGTAGTATGCCATATCAATCTGCAAAGAGGTATTATGGTATTTCCACGTTCCGTCTGTGAAGTGATGGACATGTAGTCTGGTACTTTGTTCAGCAATGAGGTCCGTGATCCCTCTCACTGCTTATACCTTTAATACTTCCCAAAAACCGTTTCTGACAGTACCAGACTGCCTGGGTAGACAGGCAAATAAACGTATAGTTGCCATTGCTTTATCTGCCGTAACATTAGCTACATGTTCATCTCTCCACAGATTTTCATTAGAAATGAACTTGTTCAAATGAGGTAGATTGAATACAACTTTGATATTTGGGATTCGAGAGATTTGAATGGTGAAACGAGTTTTCAATTTAACGAAATTTTTAATTTATGTTTCAGTTGAACCGGTTGAAACGAATTTACCTTTGAATCCCTCTATGAGAGCAGAGACTACTTCATGAAACAAATTGAAATATTCCAAAGCATCCTTGATACTCAGGAAATTGTACATAGAACAAATGTTTTGATTTTAATAAATGAACTGTTACACGTTTTCACATTCCTTCCTAATTTCTAATCTAGCTAGAAATTAAACGTTAACAAGTCAATCTAATTATTGGTTTATGTATTTACATACGTATTTGTCTCTTAGTATTGTCTCATGCTTGTAATTACCTCATTTTGGAATCTTATTTGGCCGAAAGCTGCTTCTGAATAAGCGTCTCACAAGGGAGCATTCTTACTCCCGTCCTGCCTACCATTTTACTGGTGAGATGTAATACACGGTCAAACCACCATTTTTTCTTCCAACTCACATTCAAGCAACCTCTAACAATCAAGAACATTTTCTTTCCATTGAATATCATCAAGGAGCCACTAACCTTCTTTACTAATAAGGTACTCATGATTTTATCTAGCCGACAAACTCATTTGGAATCTCTACACAGAAGAAAACAACTCAACACAAGTCAACTAACAGTTTGGACATGTTTAACCGTTGGGTTTGTCGAGTGATCCAATATCTAGCACATTTTTTCCGACCAAAGTCTTCAGGCATATTATCAACGTTTCTTACTAAGTCACTAACCTAACCTTACTACCTACAACGACCCGGAATTTTTTTAAACGAATTATTCCGATTCTTAATATTCCAACCATCGATTTATCCAGGTTCTAAAATCCTCTACACTTTCTTATCCGGTAACCCTCAAAGCAACCTTAAACGCAACCTGTGTTGTGTGGTGATTAGTGGTTGTTAATCGATATTTATTTAAAAAATCGTGAGATGCGGTCTGGTGTGATGTAGGTTTCAGAAAAACATTCTCTTTATCGTGCCAACGTATCGATCTTTATTGAGACTCTTATTGTAACTCTCGACACGACACGCAAGAATGGCACAATTGCACAGAAGACAAACACTTTGAGCCCTGAAGATGATCTCAATAAAGATCGAAACGTTGGCACGATAAAGAAAATGTTTTTCTGAAACCTACATCACACCAGACCGCATCTCACGATTTCTAAATAAACAACCTTAAACGTTGGCATCGAAATTTCCTTGTCCTCTAAGCCACTAGGTCTTTTCTCTCTCTCCCTCTCTCTCTCTTTCTCTCGCTATTCTCTCTAGATAAGGGTTGCAAAAACATTTTAACAGAATAACAGAAACAAATTATGCCAATATATTAGGTAGAATGTACATTAGACATTACATACATAGACAACTCCACGTATATATGCTTCAATAAAATACTTTCGTTTTGTGGTAACTGAGAAGAACTTTTGTATTAACTGATCACGCGATGATTTTGGTGCTGGTGAGGTGGTTGTGGTTGACTGAATGAATACTGTTTATAGACTCCGGCAGGGGCCCGTATTTCTTGACTTTGGAATGACCCTGTATGACGAAAGTCATCGGAGGCGGGGGTGTAGTCGTCGTGCTTGTCGTCGAAGTCTGCCTCGTAATAAAATTCGTAAAGAAAAACGAGTTAGAAGTGGTGGTAGTCGGTGGTGGCGAAGTTGAGGTAATGGATATAATCGTTGTCGTCGGCGTGGCTTCGTAGTGCGACGATATCTGAGGCCATCCTGCTACTTGGCTGACCTCGCTCACCCTGCTCGGTGGAGGCTCCAGGGACAAGGAAGGTGCTTTGAGCCAGTAACGGACGTGTTGGACGTGCGGAGGGTTGTAGACGTGAGTGGGATCGATGAGAGGGTCGCCCTGACCCACCGGACGCCAATCACCGCAGCTTAAACCACCTAAAAAAATAAACATTTTGTTTACTTATACTTTATAAAACATTTAAATATTACGTTCTCAATTGTAGTGTCGCAAGTACCAGCCGATGTTCCAGTGGAAAAATAACTGCATTATCTGTTTCTGAGCTTGAGATGTCAACTTTCGACCTATTTCAATGGCCCCTCTTCACTACGAGCCATGACAGGCCGGGGCATTGGTCACTAAACTGGACACCCTGCCACGCTGGCCATGTGCTTGACTCCTACTCACTGGTCCAATAGATTGTCTCGAAACTACGTTTCTGAGCTTTGACTGCAGAGGATTTGAGAACCTTCCATTGGTAGTCAGGATGTAGCATCAAGGATATACACGAATGCTCTAATCACGGTATGGTCTTGATGAAAAAGCAAATTCATTTTTTACCGCCAAGCTTTCGACCTATTTTAATGGCTCCTCTACACTACGAGCCATGACAGGCCGGGGCATAGGTCACTAAAATGGACACCATGCCACGCTGGCCATGTGCTTGGCTCCTACTGGACCTACCCTCGACCCAACATTGGGCCAGCATGGTCTCAATGGCCTATAATTTTTTCTGTGACTTGATGATCACTGCTGCATCTTTGTGTTTGGCTAGGGTGTATAATTGCTATGTACATGTTAATGAGCAACTGGTAAGAGACCACAAACAATGCCAATGCAGGCCCAGTATGTGGACACGTCACCTACACGCATTTTATTCGAGTATGTTGCCCACCTTTTATGGGTTTAGTGAGACTGAGTCTAAAGCCAATCTGACAAAGTTAAGATTGTTTTGCCCTGATGATGGCCTTAAAATAGGTCGAAAGCTTGGCAGTAATAACTAACTTTGATTTTTTAGACTTTACCGTGATCCAGATCCGTGAGTAGAATATTGGCCGATACATCTAAATCAAGGATATAAGCGAAGAGAGGCAGGCGCTCAAACCCATTGATGCAGATGGGGAGACCATTTGGTCTTAACATAATAGTTTTGTGATAATTGACAATTTTTTCACTACTAATAACCAGAGAATGGTACAAAATTTAACTGCAGACTGGTTTTTTAATTTTTTTTTAATTTTAGCTATTAGGCCATGATATGTTTTTAAGTTTTCAGTTATGTTTAATAATCATAAATAGGCGATTGTATTTGAAAAAATGTAGTTACAGATCTTCTTGTCATCCGTTTCACTGAATACATTCGAGATGAAAGTCGATGGTCCTTTCGTCAGCAATACAAACAATCATCATTGATTAAAAAAATTGTTAATCACAGACTTAACTCGCCAAGAAACAACAGATAACGGTAAGCGAGTTTCTTCAGACTCATTTCAAGTCTAAGCGCCGATGCACTTTCTACACTTAACATATATGGAATCCTAAACGAATACTTAATTCTTCACTGTTATATTGATGTTTCATGACAAAAATATAATTGATGACACATGACGTTGCAGCAGTCGATCACGGGTACATTACACGATCGATATTATTGATATTTCAGTTTGTACTCATCTTGCCAAGAACCGTGGCTGTTGAATATTTGGTCATAGTTGCTTGGAATGTTTTCGATTTTCGAATCTCAGTTTCTTATCAGTCTATTCCGACAATAAATCAAAACGCTCTACACTAGGTCAATATTACAGTCAATACGATAAGGCGTCCTTGACAAACCGTGACAATGTGGATCAGAGGGGCATCCCGGCCGAAGAAGACAAGTAGAGCACCCGCCGCCAATACGTGAGCTGTGACTCAATCCGGCAGTTTCACCGCACTACATTTGCCGGCCGATGACCGGTCTTACTACAGCAATTAGCGTTTTCATCGGAATATCACGACTTCCTGCCTCATCAATAAGTCTTTCGGATATCGAAAAAATTTATGTTCTGCAGATATGCATTCACTTAAAGATTATCGTATTTTCATGTCATCAATGGTTGCTTAAAGAGAGAGATGTAAAAAAAAGCGTGATTTTTATAAACGACAGCGGACATGACAGAGGACAGATACTAACATGGAATGCCAAAGGTTCTTCCCGGGTTGGCCGGTATAAAATTGAATTAAAAAATCTCTCAAAATATATGGTATACAGACAGTCAAAGGATAAAGAAAAAAAGTTTAATTTATGTATTATCATCCCTTTACCGTGATATTTTTCCTATTTGCTGGACGTTTCCGATCATTTTGGTGTAACATAACCTTATCGCTCCTTGCCGTAGTCAGCAATGATTGGCTCCTGTCTCTACCTGCTTAAATCCTTGATAGCATGCTCAGAAGATGAAGATGAAACACAAGAACAAATCATCGAGAACAGGCAAACGACCAAATGAGAGATAGATCTTGGCAGACAAAAGCGGTTGTCAAACCCACGAGTAAAGGCGACAACAAGCCGAAACGCTGACAGACCAAACCAGCGCGGATAGACCAAAATGATCAGAAAACTCCAACCTACATTATTGATATAGCACAATTGATTTTAGAAACTTCAGCGAATAAACATACAATTGTAAGGCATTAAGGGTATAAGTAGGGAGAGTCGGCTCTCAAACCCACCGCTGAATTCGGTAGGAAGTCGATATGTGTCTAACAGACCAAAACAGCGAGATTTGGCAGGCCAAAATGATCGGAAAACACCAAGATACATTATGGATATTGTATAGTAAATTGTGAGATCGATAATGGATATTAAATTGTGAGACATCAAGGATATAAGCAGGGAAAGGCGGCTCCAAACCTATCGCTGAAGAGAGCAAGAAGGCGAAATGCGTCAGACAGAGCAAAACAGAGAAGGTTGGCAACCAAGTTGATTGGAACAAAGCTTGTAGTTTCTTCTAAAGTAGTTCCTTGAAAAGTAATCATTAAATACTGAAGCATCAAGAATATAAGAAGGTAGAGCTCTCCAATTGACGACTGAAGATATGTGTGAATCCGAAACGAACATACAGGACAAAACAGTAAAGAGAGCCAGACCAAAAATGATCGGAAACAGCCATAGTACAGATTATGTGCTATGCAGATCCGAAAAGGATATCCTACATAATATTTGTGCTGACATTCATCTAAGTTCCTTGAAAAAGTATGTATTTTTTCTCGGTGTTCCAAACTATACTCGTTATTGTTCCTTTATAAATAAAATTTTCTATGAATGAAACACCATAAATACTTGTACAATAATATAGCATACTGCAGATTTTGTAAATAATGATACATTGGATTAGGATGGAGTTGATCATATGAGGTCATCATCAAAGCACAATTCCGATTTTTCCTTGCCAAGCATTTAGAATATATTATTCTATCATCAGTACGGTTTGAGTTGATAGAGTTATTCTACTCCTAACTGAAATTTCGTCTGCTGTGTAATTAAAATTCGACTGAAATTGAAATCAGTGTCAACAGGCCGAAATGCAACGTGCGTACGAAAGAGAAACTCCACGAATCGAAAGTGGTCGTTTTGCCCTGTAAAATATTTAAAGGGGCGACAATTGAGTGCTACTTTGATTACAAAATTGGAGTATTGGTTAGGAATTCGCTATGCATGGGGGCCGAGTTCATAAAAATTGTATTTTGGCATTTATCGTTAGACGAATGTTTCAAGTCAAAAGGATTGAATGTACTAACTTTGTCAAATTAAAGCCTTCGGAACGTGAATTTGTAAATAAACTACATATTTCGGCAAATATGCTGATTTAACAGCTTGAATAATAACTTTAAACTTAAAAACTTTTAAGTTTTTCATTTTTTTAAGCCAAAAATACAAGACCGAGAGCCTGTTTCATTTAATTGTGATATACAACTTTTGTATATTATATGTTGTGTATTATATTTATTAAGTTATAGATTGGTTTAAAATGAAAATTGTGAGCTTTCTTCTTGAGGTGTGCTGGGTAATGAATAGTATTGGTCCGTCAGAGGCGTGTAAGCGTTTTACCATCTTCAAGGGTGGGTTTGCGCACCTGTCTCTCCCTGCTTATATCCTTGATATGAAACGCATCTGACAGAAATCATCGGAAACAACCAAACAAGAGATATGCCTTGTTTATTAATGCAAATAAACTTCGAATCTTAAGGAATCAAGAGTATAAACAGGGAGAGGCAAGCACACAAACGCACTAATGCGGCTGACTAACCAACTTAGGATAAATAGACTAAAATGAACAGAAACGACCAAGTTACATTATAGATATTGCACAATATGTTGGCAGCTGTAGCGAATAAACACTAAATTGTACGGAATAAAGGATATAAGCAGGGAAACGCAGGCGCACAAACCAACCACTGAACGTGGCGAGATGATCAAACGCGTCTGAATAACCAAGATATTAAGGAAATAAGCATAAAGAGGCTGGCCTACACTCTAACCACTGAAGATGGCTAGAAGCCGAAAAACATCTGACAGGTCAAAACATCGAGGATAGATAGACCAAAATGATCTGAAACTACCATGTTACATTATAAACATTGCAAAAATGATCTTAGCAACTGAAGTATATAAACATTTATTTGTAGTACATTAAGGATATAAGTAGGGAAAGGCTGTCCAACAAACCGGACCACTGAAGATCGTGACATGATTAACCGCGTCTATCAAAAACATTTAGAATAGACAGACCAAAATGAACAGAAATGACCAAGCTACATTAGAAAATGGAACAATATATGGTCCTATCAACTGCAGCCAAAAAAGATGGGAAAGGCTGGCGCACAAACCGAGCACTGAAGATGGCGAGAAGATGAAATCCGTCTGAGTAACCAATTTAGGATAGATAGACCAAAATGAACAGAAATGACCAAGTTACAGTATAGATATTGCACAATAAACGATCTTGGCAGGTGCAGCGAATAAACACTAAATTGTAAGGCATAAAGGATATAAGTAGGGAAAGGCTGGCCTACAAACCGAGCACTGAATAAGGCTAGAAGATGAAATCCGTCTGAGTAACCAATTTAGAATAGATAGACCAAAATGAACATAAATGACCAAGTTAAATTTTAGAAATTGCACAATAAACGATCTTGGCAGGTGCAGCGAATAAATACTAAATTGTAAGGAATAAAGTGTATATGCAGGGAAAGGCTGGCGCACAAACCAACCTCTGAACATGACGAGAAGACTAAGCATATCTGACAGACCAGAATAGTCGGAAACGACCAAACTAAAATGGAAATATCAGTAAAATCAACACCGTTTTACCCTCACTTCTAAATTGTTCTTCAAAAGGTCACTAGTCAAAAAAACTTCAATTGTTTCAATATAATTTTTATCAGCTTATATTTAACTTAGTATTGAATAATGAGAGATAAGACCTATTTGAAAAACACTGTTCATAAGCTTTCGTCGAATACGAAAAAACCTATAATAACGCAAAATTATATAATTATTATTTGAAGTACGTCTTGTCAAAAAATAAACAATCTTCATTATCAAGAAATATGTTTGATTGGTTGAAGATTTGCAAAAAGCGTGCAAATTCACACAATTGGCCATAACGTGTAGAATCAGCTAATTGAAATTGATCCAATATTTGTAAACAAGTCCTGTTCATAAGGCATATTTGGTCGAAACAAATTGACTCGTTAACGTTTTGATTAATTGAAATATTTCGAGTGGGATTGATACAAAAGTCAAATTATGAGCGTGTGATTTATTAAAAAAGTCAAGAATTATTAATTTTTTATAATTGAAATTATTGTACAAGGAAGATTGACTACTAAAGGTAGCAGAGTACGTGTTTTTTTTTCTTTATTTCCATCGGACGGACGATGTGTGAAATGTAAAATCGATTTGAAACTTTATTAACATAAAATGTGTACAGGGTAGAAAGAAAAGCTCAACTTACAGAATGTGGTCAACAATAGGAAAATTATAGCTGTGTGCATGCCGTGTCTAGTGTTCAAGTGTTTCAAGAGCTCCTTCTTGTAGACTTTCCCTCCCAATCACTCCCACCAATGACATCTTTCTCTTCCTCGACCGTCCTCGGTCCTGGTTTGTAAAGAAAAATTTACGTTTTTTAAAATTAAAAATTTGTTAAAAAACCAAACGGATTTGAGAAATTTTTAATAAAGAGCGTTAATCTCTATCTAAGAATTTGAAAATAAAATGGCGGTGTCTTAACACGTAGGAAATGTGGACAATGGAACTATTTGATTCAAAAACTATTCCAAATGATTGTACACATTCTTTTCATTTTGCGTGTTATAGATATCACTTTTTCGAGAATGTGTGATATCGAAACTCACAAAACTAAGTAGAATTTATAAAACTTCATTGTATTCTATGTTGGCCCCTTCCTCGTCGGTACATTAGTGAGTTAGATTATGATGATTCGATGCTGATTTTTACTTTTTGGCTTAGTTTTTCTCATCGAATTCACGTCGACAAGCAATTCATAAAAACCAACATGCACTTGGTTGTAACGTACTTTTTGTCGTTGTAACATTTAGACATGACCAATTTGTATTTTATTTTATCAGATAATTTTATATTTTAGTTTCGGATTAATTTGATCTGCCTATCTTGTCTGTTTTGGCCTGACAGGAACGTTTCGACTTCTAGAAATCTTCATTGAGTCTGCCTTTCCCTGCTTATATCCTTGATGAGTCAAAATGTAATGTTTACGATACAATATCTATAATGTATCATGGTCGTTTCTGATCAAATGAACTTCGGTTTCTCCCATCTTCAGTGGTTAGTTTATAGGCCTCTCCCGCTTTTACCCTTGATGCTTTACAATGTTATGTTTATTTGCTGCAGTGGTTATATATTGTCCCAAATCAATAATGTAGCATGGTAGTTTCCGATCATTTTGTTCTATTTGTCCTAACTTGGTCTGTCAGACGCATTTTGGCTTCTATATATTATCATTTGATTGTGTGCGCGCCTGTCCTTGCTTATACCCTTGATGCCTTACAATTTAATGCTTACTGTCCAATATCTACAATGTTGGTTGTTTGACCATTTTTGTCTACTTATCTTCACTGTTGTGGCGTATTTTGTCTTCTAACCGTCTTCAGTAGGGGGCTTGTTCAAGCGCCTCTCCCTGCTTATATCCTTGATGTCATGAAGTACCTTCTTATACTTTAATTTCACTGGTATAAATGTTTATTGTGATATGGTAGAATTATATTTTATTTCTCATTGTGATTTCAATAATAATCTTTACTTTTTTCACTGTAATTATTAAGGTGGAGTTTAATAATTAAATTCTTGAGAATTCCTTGTGAGGTATGTAGGGGAACTGTATTTGTCCTTACCGGTCATTTTGGCCAGCAAATCTTGCTGGGGGCGTTCTGTCACAGGCATTTCAGCAATTCGCCATCTTCAGTAATGAAAGAAAGCTTTACCCACCATGACACTCGATGGATAAAGAAGTTATCAATCTCTGGTATGTCAGAAGTAATAAAAAGCCAGCTCCCACCACATCTATCTACAATTTGACTGACAACGAAAGAGCATGATCATGGAAAGCTAGGAGCACACTGAAGGTGGTGAAACACGTACATTTGTGTGCCTCCCTCTCCCTGCTTATATCCTTGATGCCTCACAACAATTGAAAATGACCAAGCTACAAGTTCGTCACTCTGCAGACCACAAAAGGAAAACTCACAAGATGATTTTGTGTTAAATTATACACATAATAGTTGATTAAAGATAGAGAATTTACGATTTCCCAGCAAAATAATGAAAATCTGTAATAAAACACTTGTTCACTTTTTAATAGTCATTTGTTTTCTTTCCAAGTAGATATTCACATTTTACTTTCAGTTTACACGAGAAATTAGATTAGTGTTTATTTATGAGCTCAAACTCGGTCATTCTTCTGCCCAAGCTGCACTGAATATCAATCAGGTTAATATTAGTCACAGAAAGAGACTTATAACGAAAGTATGTGCATATTGTCCGTGGCTATGTAAAGTTTTCTCCTGGCAGTACGACCAACTCCGTGGAAGACCTTATGGAAGTTTAAGAAGTTCTTCATCTAAAATCCAAATGGCTGGTTAGAGATGTATGCTGTATATACATGCATGTGCAGATTTGAGCTTATATAAATCAGTTATCAGTTTGAATCAAGCATAAATTTAAGAAGTACCAGCACCTATTATTCGTAGTTAAAAGAAGTTGGCTTGCAACGCTTTCGGAATTTTTCCTCAACACAGGAATCAATAAATTATGATTTAAATTATTTATGGGATGTAGAAAAATGTTATTTTAATATTTTAATCAATGGTAAAATTTAAATAAATAAGCTTTAATATTTTAAAACAACACTGACATAACCCAGAAAATTAGACAACATGTAGTTGTATTTAAACAGCTATTTCAATCAAGATTTAAATTTTTTTTAAAGAAACTTTTAACCTATCAAATTAAAACATTTTTTTACTTATTATAAATCTTCAGATAACAATTCTGTGAAATAATAATTCTGTGAGTGAATCATCATTTATAAAATGTCAATCTGCATCTTCACCCCACTGTTACCATTTCTGTTGAAAAACAATGTATTAATTTTTATTTAAAAATAATAAGCCCCACCTTTTCGAACCAAAACAGTGACAACATCTTGGTCTGGTTTCACGATATTTGAATTCATCATGATCATGATGGCACAAAATAATAATGAATCCATTCATCATTTCTGACATTGTTAAGTCATTTGGACTACTGTGAATAAATATTGATGTCATATTCTTATAAGGACCACAAAAATGTACACAAATAACAAAAACTTTTGATTTGTATTTATTTACATAGATAAAATATCACAATATTCTCTTATAAACTAATGACTAAAAATTCACAAAAAAATTGTTAGCTTTAATTATATTTAGTCAAGAATTACATGATATAAAGTGATTATATATAAAATCATATATTGACATAACGATTGTTATTATTACATATCAAATATTAATCCTTAAAAATATATCACAATAAATACATAAGAGGGCGATACTATTATCAAAATGATTAATTATAAAATACTCCTTTATAAATTGTAGTTTGAATCTTTGGTATAAATTAGACTAATACAATTAAAATCCATTTTAGACTGAGATTAAAAGAAGAAATGTCAGAAGAATGTATTCGATCTGATGTTTACTCCCTGCATTTGAACCTGAAACCAGGGAAAAGACATTATTATACAGTATTATAAGTATACATAAAGGGTCTTAGCAAAACAGTGATTGTTGTTGTCTGTGAGGGTAATGAAAGGTGGACGAGGTGGTTAAAGCCAGGACATCCTAACCTCCAGACTTAACCACTACACTCCAGTCCCTTAACACCAAATATGCAATAAATAAACATGCTTAAAATAATGTTTCAATGCTAGTGGGCCAGCTCAGCAGAGATGTTCTTGTGAATCAAGAGCATTGTCAACAGGTGGCCCTTGGAGGACCTGACTCATAGAAGACAGGTCATTCTCACCCAATTAAGGTCCTTTTTGCCTTTTTTCAAATGTCGTGTAATCGGATTGGATTCTCGGTGACATGATATTTGAAAAATGACAAAAAGTAGGGGAAACTCAAAAGGTGGGGTTGAGATAGGAAGTTGGTTTCTGAGTGGATCGAGGTCATGATAGCTCAAGTGGTACAGCAACGGCGTATCTAGCCGAAGATCGTGGGTTCAAATCCCGCTCGTGCCATTGACTTTTTTATCTCAACTAAAAACCTTAATTAGTTGTTGCTCAGTATGTTCCACCTTATTGAAGAGTGCAATTGCTTGGCTCAATACAAAGAGTGCATAGGAATGCAGCCGATATGAGAATCATGTTGGAGCATGGCAGCAAGGAATTGTTCCTAATTTGGGAGGAAACAGGGCTGTTTTATTGTGTACAAGACTGATTGTTTTGGGTCCCTAGGGTGTGTTGAGAGTTAATGTGTATTGGGAGAAGGCTGATAGCAGCATATTGAGTACCCCATCGAGCCTCAATTAGGTTAGATGTAATAGGTGTAAAGGGTGATGAAGGAATATTGAGTACTTGTTTACCCTAACTGAGTAAATCGTGAATAGGAAATAATGTATTTACGAGTGAGTGAGAGTATGAATGGGCTTGGATTTAGAGCAGATTGCATTGGGGGATGAAACGGCCTAATTGTTGATAGCTCCTGGAGCTCAACCTCTTGGGATAAAACCTATCCCCAACTGCCAGCACCCGAGGCGGGTGATTCTTGAGGCCTGCTGGTAATTTATTGCAAATTAAAAAAGTTGGAGTTGCCAGAGGGCAGCAATAAGTGATAGGTTCAACTCTGTATACACATGCATGTACAGACTTGAGCTTATATAAATCAGTAATCAGTAATTACAAGAATACATCATATTGCTCAGGTTTCACCATTTTACATTTGTTAGATTATAACCCAGTGATCCTATAACAAATAGTAAATAAACTTTGTAAAGTGTAACTTGAAAAACAACTGACAGACAAAATGAAAACCCTAGGACAAATGGAGTCACAGCTAGTGAACAAACATCTGTGCTAACAAACATAAGTTGAAGGTGTAAAAAGAATTTGGTGATACAATATCGGTGGTTTGTGTGGTGAAATTACCCATAATTCGAGGAAGTCTAGATTGATGCTTCCTCGGTTCAAGAGGGTCTCGGAGGTCAATGTGTGGCCCAGTCTCTCTTGAATTCCAGTATAGCGTGTCGATGGATGAGGTGCACTTCATTTTTAGTTCGCCATTGTCAAAATGCCGTTCTTCGGCTGTGTACTCTAGAAGCAGGTCCACTCGTTTCAGCCCATTGCCTTCATCGTGGACAAAAGGTCCACTTAGATATGATGAGTTAACCTAAAAAAAAACAAATAAGCAATTGAATTCAAAATTAATTCAATTTTTGCTAATTTTCACAATAATTTTTTGAAATTGGAATAACATAAATAAGTAGGACTAAACGTTATGACTTACATGCAAACCGTTTATGTACCAGTTGAGATGAGGAGGAGGCGAGGAAGGTCCTGCAGAACAGACCAAGCTAATTTTGTCCCCTGGTCTGTATTTGTCCTTGGCTCCTTGAATGACTGGTCCAGATTTTGGCAAAGCTGAAGAACAAACACAGATCAAATTAAAACCATATTTGTTAGTTTTTAAAATGGATTACTCACATACTACTGAAAGGTCTTTATAGTGAGCCTTGGTGTCAAAGTGAGGTGCCTCACCAGATACCTCGCAACGGTATCGGCCAGAGGATTCCAGATCGGTCTGTGTCAGGGTGACAATACTCGAATTGGATTTACTTAGCTAAAACAAAATTTAGTATTCGTAGTATTTGTACATCATCAAATCTAAAATCAAACCTATAAAAATTTGGACAATGATTTGACCAATGTTTGACCCAAAAATTGGGGGATGAAAGAGAGGTCTAAACAATAAATCTTTCTATTCTGAGCTTTGCCCATTAAAACTGAGGTCATCAATCAATATTTGGTCTTTCTGACAGTATCCTTCAATTGGGAAGATAACGTGATTAGACTAACTTTCCTTAGATGATGTATTTGTTTGGATGATATGTTCAACAAGTCGAGTTAAACCACTAAGTTCAGTCTTGATTAAATATATTATAAATTAAATTACAATTCTGTTATATCTAACTTAATAAAAGAGTTTAGGAATAATACAATATGCAACACATACAATTGTCAAATGTATAAAAACTGCAAATCTAACCTGTACAAATATTCAGAGGTTATGAACTTAGTACAATAAGAAAAAACTTAATTTGCACCATTACTCAATAATTGGCCCAGTCTTAAATGAATACACTCAAAAATGTTTTGGCAAAATCTGTTAACTTTATCAAAAATAATAGGAATTATGCAACAATGTAAATGTATATTTATAAAGCTTTGATAGATTGTGCAAGCTATCTAAAACTTTTAACCTGCCCTTTTTGATCATTTTGGTCATGTGGGTTTCAGCAAGTTTCAAAGAATGTATGTATCTAAAATCGATGGCATCAAGGATATAAGCAGGGAGGGATATTGCGAAAACTCAACCTGAAGAAGGTGAAACACACTGAGAGTCCTAAACAGCAATGATAAACCTGAATCACAAGAGAGGAAAAAGTAAAATCACAGGGTTTCAACAATAACACAGTCCATAGAAATGGAGCTGCTGGAATGTTAAAAATTAAACTATTTAAATAATAATCCATGCATGTAACTTTTGAATTATTTTCACTTGATGCACATCTGCAGGATGGTTAACCTGTAGTTTGGTAGTTGCTGACCATTTTGGTCTACCAGACGTGTTTCGACATTATTTTCAATGCATGATGATAGGGTTATTAGCAGGGAGAGGTAAATCAATGGATTGTGGGTGATCGGAAATATTTGTGTATGGGACCTTCAATTTAATTTATTATTAGATATTTTTTGTAGATTTCATTTTTCCGATGAATAATAAATGAAGATGGCGAGAAGCCGAATCATACCAAAAGGAAAAACAGCAAGCATATGCGAGCCAAAATGATCAGAAATGCATTAACTTTTGAACAATTGTGAGATTTTCACCTGATGCAGATTTACAGGATGATCTAACTTTAATTAGGTAGTTGCTAACCATTTTTTGTCTACCAGACGGATTTCGGCATTTCACCATCTTCAGTGCATGACGATAGGGTTATAAGAAGGGAGAGACTAATCTACATGGATCAGACTTATGTGATCAAAAATATTTGTGTTTGCTTTCATTTATTTGTGGCTACTTTTTAAATTTAGTTTTGCAGATACATAACTATTGAAGATGGCGAGAAGCTGAAACGCATTTAATAGGCATAAATAGCAAGGATAGGCTGGCCAAAATGATTTGAAACGATTAATTTTTGAACTATTGTAAGATTTTCATTTGATAGACATCTGCGGGGTGGACTTGTAGTTTGGTAGTTGCTGATAATTTTGGTCTACCGGACGCGTTTCGGATTTCGCCATCAGTGCATGGCGGCAGGGAGAGGCTTAATCTACATGGAAGACTTGGGTGGCCGGAAATGTCTGTGGGACCTTCAAATGTTTTCCTTTATTATTGGATAGATTTTAAATTTGGCTTTGCAGATAGATAATCAATGAAGATGGCGAGAAGCCGAAACGCGCCTAACACGCGAAAAACAACGTTAGGCGGATCAAAATCACCGGAAACGACTTAATTTTGGACTATTCAATGTTGTCTAAGTTAGAAATCAATCAGATAATAATAAAAATTGTATAGATTGCGTTAATGTATAATTTCGATGACTCTCCCTCAGTCTCTTATACATTTTTATTACATGAACAAAAATTAATAGGAATCGAACCATGAGTTAACCCCCGGTGTGAGAAAGCACCCCACCAGTTCCGTGAGGTATTAATTTAGCATTTTGATCCTAATCGGAATGTCATGCTTTTTATAAATGGGGTTGATTCACAACGTGTAAATAAACCACCAGCATGAAGTAGGGTGACTCACGCATGCCAGATGATTATCCACCCTTTAGTTTAATATAGAAAACAACACAACGGTTTTTACCTTGACTGTCCGTCCAAAGGGCGAACCGTGCCCAGTTCCTCAGAGGCCACTTATTTCAGCAGAATTAAGCCTGTTTTTCTAATAAAGCGACCACTATAATTACTCCTTTGATCTATGCCGGTTTAATTGAAAGTAAAAATTCTTTTACAGGGAGAGGCGAATTAACCCATATTTAACAATGGTACAAGAACCAATTAGTATTAATCGTCTGCGCATATCCAATTAAATAGTAAAAAATTATAGCTATAGATGTAACTTTATGGTCAGAATCATCTTTAAATAGTTTATTACTGTGTTTAACACCGTGGTTGATAATATCAAGCTGAGTTTTAATGTACGATCGATTCTCAATAGAACAGTTCGTATCATCATAGTTTAATTGTCAAAAGTGCTGCAAGATAGGCCACAAAAAGAAAGCTGTTATCCTCTTTTCTATAATTTTCATTTCCATATTTCAGTAAAGGATTAATTTAACAGTATGATTGTTATAGGATGGTGCATATTGTGTACGATTTCCTCTTGAAGTCTGCGGAGTGAAGAACATTCGGCATTTTTCAGATTTATGTCTGAATATCATCGCTGGTCTGTCGTCTCGACATTTCGCCTTCTTCAGTGGTAGGCCCTGAACCATACCACGAACTGAGTTTGTCGAAAAGCGAAGGACGAGGCAGACCAGAATGATCGGATACGACCAAACTGCAGGCCGATCATCTTGAAATTAAATTTTACCAAAATTATAACTTCGATATTTGCTAGGTACTACTAATACACCTAAATTCCTCCTAATCTGGAGGAGATCAACCCTGACTGCTCTCTAGAAGGCCAAATCCTGAAAATGAAACTTAAATACTTTGGCCACCAAATGAGAAGAAATGACTCACTGGAGAAGAGCCTAATGCTGGGTAAGATTGAGGGCAAAAGAAGAAGGGGGCGACAGAGAATGAGGTGGATGGTCGGAGTCACTGAAGCAGTCGGTGTGAGCTTAAACGGACTCCGGAAGATGGTGGAGGACAGGAAGGCCTGGAGGAGCATTGTACGGATCACGACTTCGCAACTAACAACAACAACTAATACACCTAAGCGAATATCTAGGCTGACACAATTGCTTTATGTGTACAAAATAAATTATGATTGTCATTCATTGGTTCCATATAAAGAGCGTCTAGGTGAGATACGAGAATTGTGCTTGAGCATGGCAGTGGGACCAATGTTACGATTTTTGGAAGAAAGAGGGGTATTCTTTAGTAAATTTGCAAGTGAGAAGTAAAAGTAAATATTTATTAGCGTGAATATGTAGTGTGATCATTATTTACTTGAATCGCCGAAGACTGTGTTGATACACGGACACTTAATTTAGGGCCAATCCGGCATATGTCTCCCATGTAAAGGTTACTCCATGTGTACCTCTAATTAAAGGGCATCATTCTAGTATTGGTTCTCTATAGAGAACTAGGATGAAAGACCTATACAGGAATTGTGCATGGTCTCGGCAGTGAGACCCATTTTCTGATTTATGGAACAAGTAGGGCTGTTTTTCAGCCATCGCTAACCAACCATCGCAGGTTATCGAATGTGAAATGAACCGAGTTTGACACACGTACACTTAATGTTAGGCCAAACCCGGCGTATGTGTACAATATAATTGTTGTTCCAAGTGTATCACGTAACTAAAGGATGCCATTCTAACGTTGACTCTACATAAAGAGTGAGTAGGATAAGCTAATCTATACGAGAATTGTGCATGGTCATGGCAGCGAGTCTTTGGGGCCCGTTGTCCGCATTTGTAGAACTAACAGCTGATGTTTTCTGTAATTTCTAACTAATAATTGGATTTTGTAATAAATGTATCGCCAGATTTATAGTATTTATTAGCGTAAATGAGTAGTGTGATTATTAGTTTTGTATACGAACCCCCGAAGATTGTACCGAAATTGACACATGGTCACTAAATTGTGGGCCAAACCCTGGGTGTTGTTCCTTCCATATGTACCACGTAATTAAAGGGCATCGTTCTATCATTGACTCTATATAGGGAGCGAGTAGAGATAGTCACCCTTACTAAATAGTGTATGGCGAGTCTCTTCTCTTGTCCAAAAGTTTTGAAGAAATAGAGCTGTAATAATTGTATTTGTGATAAATATATCGCAAGAGTATTTATTTGCGTGAATGAGTTGTTTGATCCTTAGTTTCGTATATGAACCGCCGAAGAGCGTACCGAGGTTGACAAAACGGATACTTAATTTTGGGCCCCTCGTATGTGTCCCGTATTAGGAGGGTCCCACGGTTACTCCAAGTGTACCAAGTAATTAAGGGGTGTCGTTATATCATTAGCTCTATATATAGAGAGGATTGTGTTTGGGCGCGACTGAGATTTTTTGAATAATCAGTGGCAGTATGTTTTATATTTGCATGTAAGATTTTGTTGAATGTATCGCGAAATTGAATGTACTAGCGTGAATTTTTAACGTATGAGAGTGCTCGACCCTCAGTTAGATTAGATGTATAGAGTGATGGATGGATATCAAATGCTCCATCGGCCTTTTTGAGTAGACAGAAGAAAGGAACAAATCGATTCACATAAATAAACATTTTCCTTGAAATAAAGACAGGCTGCTTGGCTTAGTGGTTATGCACTCATTTCAATATTTTTCTTATAACTTAACAGTGCCTAAATTTATTCATTAATTTTTCAGCTACAAGCATTTTTCTCTGCAGCATTATCTAAGGAACCCTGTCCAATT